CATAATACATCCAACTATACCCTTTCGCCACCAATCGTGTTTTGTAGCAACCAATCTTTTCTTCTGAGCTCTGTTTCAATGTGACGACCAGTTTGCACTCGACTGTCTTTTTCTCTGATGGTAGCAATGCGAGCTCCTATATCTTGTCTCACCGATAGCCTCAAGTTTCTCCAGCATGGCAAGTTTTCACTTTATATCCTCCATAGTCATCTGACAACACTTAGATATAAGGACAATGTCCAAAGATGCAATGAATGCTCTGTGTAAAGGTAATGTGCTAGAGTATGAGACAAACTGAGCAATATAATGAGAGAAACCAAAACAATCAGAAGAATAACGATAAAGAGGATGACTCGCATTGCTGCAAAATGTCCCCGTTAAAGTCATGGGAGTGAGAGGAGAAGGGAGAGGAATCATATCACTTGTGTAATCGAACTCCAAGGTGGATGTTGTAGGTGTCTCAGAAGTGGGGGTAGACCAGGAAAAGGGACTTGTTGACACGAGTGACACGGCGGGCACGTTTTCTCATTATATATCCTCCTTGTATATACCCTCAGCTCCCCTTGAGTTTGAATCTCATCACCTTCATACCCATTTTCCTCATTTTCAGCTCTTCCTCAGTCGATACTTCCCGCACAATGGGACAAAGCATCATTCCCACAAGTACCAATCTCTCACCATCACAACTCTCTCGCTCACGCCTTATACCTCCAGTATCTGGCGAGTCACCAAAGGGTGAGGTCACCACCAAAGCGTAGTACGGTTCGAATTCTCTAAAAGTCACAACCATACTCACAAACAGTCTCCTCTCTATTGGGCTACAATAAACATACCCCTTCCGAGTGGTAGAATAACCAACAAAAAAATGTTTCACAGCTCTAGGATCCAGCTTCCATATTGAAGGTTTATTATCATTCACAGAACAAACACAACCACATATCTTCAATGAGAGGATCTCACTATTATCTCCGTTAAATAATTCATAAAGAAATTGTCACACCAACACTCTTGAGAGCAATCTGTTGATCGATTGAGTGACTTTGAAAAGTGCTTTGGGACAATCATCGAGGTAGTCATGTTTCGGGCTACCACTAGAAGATGTCTATTTTTCTTCTCTGCTACTCCATTTTGGGTCAGTGTGTATTGACATGTGATTTAATATTGTATCCCTTGGGCTAACAGTTACTCCTCAAACGCCTTATTGCTATACTTCATATCATTATCAGAGATCAATACCTTCACTACTGCACTATATTGAGTCTGAATTGCTTTGTGAAAGTCTTTAAAACAAGCAAGCACATCACTTTTGTTTCTCATCAGATATAACAAAGAAACACAAGAAAAACAATAAATGAAAGTCACAATATTTGTTGTCATTCATCGAAGTTGTACAACAAAGTCCCCAACATCTGAGTGCACCAATTATAAAATACAAGAACTTCCATTACTATAACAAACATAAGAGCTCCTGATATGCTTACCAAACTCACAGACATCACACACAAATTTTTATTAATTTGTCTTTTCATGCAAAGACGGATACAAACGACTCAATAGACCAAATGAAGAGTGTTTCATGTGTTTGTGATATAGCAACAACACATCATCTACACTCCTTCCAGATCTTACGCTAGCACTCTCTACCATGGATGTCAATGCTAAGTCCATCCCCTTTCTATCCAAGTATCAAAGTCCATTTTACTAAATGTCAGTCCAATCTTTGGCCAGTCTCCCTCTCTTGAAAGATGACATCAAAAATTTCAAATGAAATAACACATTTTAGTTGGAATATAATGTCACTAATAGATAAAAGAATCACTGAAAATGAAGGAGCATGCAAAATATCACGCATAGTCATAGAGTTGGTACACCTCATTGTACCCTTACCAACCATAGGTTATGTTGTATAATCAGCAGTTTGAATGTTCTCTGGAAATTTTAGGTGAGTATATGAAGAGAACTCACAAGCAACACCTGTCATATGTTGAGATGCACCAGAATCTACTATCCATTCTGGTGATCTTATGGTGGGTATAGTGGCAAGAGCACGTGTATCATTAGTACCTTTGGCTGAGTAAGCATAAATGCAGTGTTCCCTTTGGATGACAATAAGTTGGATGCAACCTCAATCACATCACCTATCGCTCTCTGCTTACTCTTCAACATCTCTATGAACTCATGATCCTCATCAGTAAAGACCACCCATGTCTCTCCCTCGTTCTCTGCAACCATATTTGTCTAGTGGTCCCCCTCTTCCACCGCTTTGGCCCCCACAATTACGACTATAACCACTAGACTGCCCACATGCACCCATATCTCTCCTTGGATGGCTTTGGACAAGTCGTGCTCAGGTGTCCCACTTCTCCACGATTGTAGCACCTACGTGTCTTCTACTGGACACCTGTCATACCTGAGCTCGAGGCAGCCAAAGTTGATCGTGTACCCAGAAGTCCACTCAGCTCAGAGTGTAAAATCACGCGACTCTCCTCTTGTATCATCATGACGATGGCCTCATCCATTGAATGAATCATTGACCGGGCTAGGAGGGTCACTCTCCTCTTATCAAATACCAGATTCATATGAGCTAGAAATTGCATGGTCCTTATCTGTGCAAAGAGCCCCCTTTTTTGCACCCCGAATCACCACAACTCGACATAGGTGAGAAATTATCAAGATCTTGCCACAGTCGCTCCATTTCTATGAAGTATTCTTGAATCGATCTATCACCCTATATCACTATCTCTAAGTCACGCTGAATCCGGAACACTCTCATGTGATTTTCAATCCTTCCATAGGTCCTCTTCAGCTTTGCTCAGATGTCTTCATCTTCTGAATGACATCTATTGATGAGGCAATTAATAGAACTATCGAGTTGAGAAGTCAGGTGTAAAGTAAGGTGTGTGTGGTCCTCCCCACTCATCCCCTTCAGCACCATCACCCTCTAGCTCAGTCTTAACTCTCGTTAGATATCCCTCTAATTTCCTTCCTATTAGAGCAACCTCAATACAACGCGACAAACTCAGATATGTGGTCGGTCCATCAAACTTCGGATCCACGGTAGGGAAATTTAGCTTCACCTGAGTCAAAGCAACTGTTGAGACAGTGGCTCTAGCTGAGACGCTAGTTCCCTATATGAGCCTGACTAAAGAACTTCAGATTCTATCTTTCCTAGAAACAATAGATTCAATAAAAACCTTGGAACATGAATAGAAACTTGTATTTTTGGTCACAATATTCCTAAATTTCAATCATAACTAAGCTGTAGTTTATAATCCCCTCTAAACCTAAAACTTCAACCAAAAAACTTCAAAAAATAATATAGAATTTATTATTGTGAGCTAAAAATACTGTTGAGGATCAAACTTATGGGAGAAGTAGAAAGGGGAGACTAGCGGTCCCGACAATTTCAAGGAGAGATAATTAGAGGATGGGTGGGAATGAGGAAAAGATAAAAGGATGAGTTTAGGGGTAGATTTTCTTTCTACAAATATGCTTGAGTTTGAGAGGAAAAGAGGGCCTTGTGTCCTAGATTCTATTGTATTTATAGATATATTCAAAATGTCTCATTGACAGAACAGGAAACTCTCTTTATGGTTTTATAAGAATCCTGCTCATGTTGGCTATTACCTATGCTAAAAAAACAGCATGTAAATTCCTCTTTTTTGCAACGATTTTGGAAGATGAATCTTATTGTGGAATTCTAGATGTGTCATAGCTTTATTATTTTCTTATTTCCATCTCATGGTCTTATGTGGCCTGCTGTGATAGTTTTTTTTGCCTATATCAATAATATACTTCTATGCATAGCGTGTGTTTCTTCCAGGTGTTTCATGAGATTTTTAATTATGTTGAGGAAGATATCATATGACCACTCCTATTATTCGTTGTTTTAGCTTGTAATGATATTTTTTTAAGTTCTTCATTTGAGTTATACTGAAGTTTTCCTAAGCTAAACAAACATTATATTCAGGCTATAGGGCTGATGCATATTGCTACAATATGTTCTTCAAGTTGCTAAGTTGGATGTATCCTTCCAAGCCATGGAGGGACAAAGTTCTCCAAATGCTCCGAGCCAAGCAAGCTTAACGAGGCCATGTGTAAATCTATTCCTACTTCTCAGGATCAGCAGAATTAATTGACTTAGCACTCCAAAAATCTTATTACATGTACAGCTCAAATCATCCCTCAAGAAGGGATAGGAAATTTTCTTGCCCGCATCAATTTCCCTTCATCAAAAACTCACTTTAAAAAAAATTACAATGCTAGAAATGAGTTGTTGCAATTTTAATTTATGAAGAGATGGCACGAATTAGCATTTTAAATTTTTTTAATCAGATACACAAAACAAACTTTATAATTCTATTAAACAAATAGAGCTAACTGGCCCATAAAATTCTTTCATGTCAAGTAAAAGTTCTCATAATAACAAAACCAGAGGACTAGTCTTTAAAAAAAAAATAAAGTGACGCAGAAATCTCCTTTTTTTATGATAACATTAAATAAAATTGAGCTGCATTTTAAACAGCTTAGAGCCATCCTTTTTTTTATTCGATAAGCTTCAAGGTAGACCACAACTTTGATGAGGAATGAGCCGCTCCACATTCTGGTCTAAGTCTCCAATCCAGCTAGGTATTTCAATTTTCTAAAATAAAATAACTTTCTTAAAATCTAATCTAAAACAAGTGTCTAAACGCAAGTAACTATGTCTTTAGTGTACGATCCCATTGTTCATCGTCATCTCCCGGAGAAATCAAGCATCCGGCCCGGACAAGCTCGAAATAACATGGTAGGCAGTTTAGCTCCCAACAGCTTAGGAGATCATCTACTAAGAGGGAGGTGCGCTAGTTGGTCAAGTTGTCAAAGTCAAGAGCATACTAATCCGCAAGAAGTTTAAACATGCAGAGAAAGTCAAAATGAAAGAACCAAACAAGTTAGAGATAGCATAAAAATAAGATTTATAGCCAACCAAATCGCCAAATACATAATTGAAAACAAACTCGTTACCTTCCCTCCTTCAAGGAAAGTTGATCAAGTGCGTCGTTCACCTCTCTGATCGTAAGCCCGCCGGAAGCCGATCCCTGCCTCCGTTGCAAAATCTGACAACAGAGATCAAGGCAAGTTAAAGAAACAATCTCCTAAAAAAATCATATGCCGGGAGCAGAGGATAGATCATAGAAGGTTACATCAGCAGCAACGAGTGCAAAATTTCCAGCGTTTGCTCCGGTTCGTGCCCCGCCCTTACGCCAGTTGATGAGACGGAGGGCATCCTCGGAGTCCTTGGAGATGCCGAGCGCATCCACGAGTGCGGCGGCAAGTGCGGATTCCTTGAGGCCGTAAGTACCGCGCTCGCGATCCAGGGAAGGGAGAATGAGGCGGATGGCGCTGAAGAAGTCGCGGCCGGTGTAGACCAGATCCAAAAACGTCCGGAATCGCTTCCGCTTCTTCGCCGCCGATCGGTCCCGCACCATAGCCTCGAACATGCTGCATAGCAAGCCGAAGCGCACCGTCGAGTCTGTCATCACTACCGCGGACTAAGGAATGAGCTCTTCAGTCTTCACCCCCTCGTTCTCCAAAAATTATTGCACACATACGGTCTCTCTCTCTCTCTCTCTCTCTCGTTCGATGCTCGCCTCGATCTTACTTACGGACTGTTGTGCAGGAAAAAAATATATTACATTAGACGTGTGCCGGGCGTAGTTAATAAAATCACTTCACCGTAAGTCACATGACAGAAAATATGAGAAAATTTTCGTGTTATTCATGTATTATTGTGTGTTATTCATGTAAGACGTGTGCCGGGCGTAGTTAATAAAATCACTTCATCGTAACTCACATGACAGAAAATATGAGAAAATTTCCGTGTTATTCATGTATTATTGTGTGTTATTCATGTGTTATTGTGTCCTGTGAATATTCTTGATGTTATAAAAATACAATACAGGACACAATAACACATGAATAACACACAATAACACATGAATAACACAGGGGGAAATATTTCCCCATGTTACCGCGCCGTTTTTTCTCTGTGAGAAATATTCTCCATGTTATTCTAGTGTTATTGTGTATTATTCATGTGTTATTGTGTCCTCAGAATATTATTAATGTTATAATAATACAATAACACATCAGTAAAACAGGAATAACACACAATAACACATGAATAATATGGGAGGGAATATTCACTGTGTTACCGTGTTATTTTTTTTTCCTTTCGCGTGGAATGTCGTGACTTGATTTCATTGACTACGCACGTTATTATATGTAGATAATACTGATGGCGTGGAATGTCGTGACTTGATTTCATTGACTACGCTGATATAATATTTTTCCATTGTGCAGAGGTTTTTGGCAGGCTTAAAAATGGAGGCAGTTCAACGTGGCGTCCGAAAGGCTTAGCGGGCATGTTGCAACGATCATTTCTTATATTTTAAATTTGTCATTAATTTGTTCACCGGTGCTGGCCGAAAGCTCCATTTAAACTAGCCGGTGATTGTTGTTCATATGTTAGCGTAATAGTAGTTTCTCATAAAAAATATTGTTTTTACTTTATATACATAATTTATCAGAATAATTGCAATTTTAAAAATAATTATAATAAAATAATAAAAAACAAGCCTAGCGAATACAGAAAACATGACAGAAGTTCAAATTTTTTCAATACATCAATTTTGAAGTCATTTTATGCATTAAAAAATAATAATAATAACCACAAAATAACAAGCAAGCATATAATGGCATTCACCTTCAAGTTCAATCGTTCAAGTATTAGAATTAATGTTTTGTCCGCAGCAGCATCTCTTATCACATAATCAGTGCAATGAAAATATATGTAAGCTTCGTGTGCTTTGTTTCTGGGACATCAATAAAATCTCCTCTTATAAGTATTTTATCTTTTTGATGTGTACTTAGAATGTTGCGTACCATAATGACAGTATATATCTCTTCAAATACTTATGATCTTAAACTCATTTTTCATGTGATTGCAACACATTATGTCTTTAATTAGCAAAATAGACTTAATATGCAATAAAAAATATATATATAAAAAGTATACATCAATAAATTTTCAATAAAAAACACTACATAAATATAGAAAGTCAAAATTTGAAAATCTTCAATACTTCTGAAATAGGAAACATTTACAAAAAAAAAACAATACAAAACACTATATAAATACACTATATGAGCTCACCAAAATATTTGTAACATCTTCTCTTAACTTGATCATCTCCTAAACATCCTCTCCTTCCGATGTGTTGAAGTCATCCGTACAACAGTCTTCATTGGGCAAAGTCTTCATCGGACAATGATTGTTTGACCAAATGTTTGAATGATTTTGCAGCTATGCTTGTTGCATCTCCATCTAAGACCCTGAAGTCAATATCATCTCGAGATGAATGTCTTCATATAAATTATGTAGCGATGTCATTGCAATAACTATCTTTACCTATTTTTTAAAGGAATGCACTGGCATATCTCAGTATAAACCACTTATTTTTTGAAGCAAATGTTCTCTCAATGACACTCCATAATGAAGAGTGTATTTTAATGAACAATTCATTCCTCCCTCTAATGACTTAGTTGCTCCGTTCAAAATAAAAAAGGCAGTCCCTCATGGAGGAGAAGATCCTTTAGAAACCTCGTTATAATGAATATCCCGAATTGACAAGATAGTATATTCCTGAATAATAACACCATTACTACATATTCTCGTATCAAATGCTTCGTAAACAAACTTGAATGTAATGAACTAGTGGAGGCACTAGAAATTTATATTCATGTTGTCGGGCTATAAATTTGAATATTCAGCTATCATGTGCCCTCACTTTCCATCCACTTATCACGAATGTGAAACAGAAACTTAAATCTCAAATAACTAAGTTATTTTGTGTACCTGCTCCACACCGTTCGATATATGTAATCTTGTCATCACACTTCTTCTTTATTCTTTTAATTACTTGTAGTCGTCAGCTTATCTATTTATTATTGTATAATTCTCTTCTCATATAACCTTCTTTCTTGGATCGTCAAAATGATTCGGAGAAGGAACAAACGACAATATCTAGACAAACAAATTAAAAAGAATATGGAGAATTTATATAAGGTAAACCTCATGTGACGGGTCAAAAATATGCCTAAAACAAGATCAAATTAAAATATCTTGAAACATGTATCCACAACAAATTAAAAAGAATATGGAGAATTTATATAAGGTTAACCTCATGTGATGGGTCAAAAATATGCCTAAAACAAGATCAAATCAAAATATCTTGAAACATGTATCCACAAAAACATAACCTTACAAAAGTAACCCACAACGAGAGAACCAAAATTTTATATTTTGTCATGGGCTTAAGACCAACTCTAAAATAAACATGTTTGTTTGGTCAATTACATATTTGATAATACCCAAGAAAACTTTCAATGAAGTAACCCCGCTTACAAATTTTGTGATAACTAGTAAAAAATGATACATCAAAGGATATGATTGCCTCAACTTAGAACATCTTGATGCTTCAAAGCCCATACCAAAACAAAAATGTTGAGGGCGAGTCCCTCACATCCCAAGTAGACGACGACTAATCGAAAAACAAAGCCTATGGGGAAATCATGTCATCAGATATAATCATCATAATCTAAACGGACAGCGACTTACCATCAAAATGGAGGCTACTAGATGTCATCAATGTGGTGTCAAAAGAAGATTAGACTCAAAGGTGTACGAATAAAATGTAAAGAGATCTGATGAGATGGAGATATTCAGGTCAGGACTTCATGGATCTGTTATCATGTTATTCAGACCTTAAATCTACCAACTCGTGAAAACAGTTGACCCAACTCAATCAAACATCCATTGTCAGCCACCAATGTTCTGCATCATCCAAGAGACAAAGGCAGCCCTAAAGCCAAAGAAAAGGAACCTATAAAGCCCTATGATCATATAAAGGTGAAATTCACAAGAATGAGACATACACTCATTGATAAAGACACAAAGATGCCTCCAAAAAAAAGAGAGAAGAGGGTTTCAACTACAAAACCAAAACCACATCAAAAAGGACTTACACCCCATATAAGATCAAGGAGCTTCTAACAATTAAGCAGGCAAGATAACCACCTAACTAAAAATTAATTAATGATGCGCCAGTCAAATTTGAGTGGCACTGAGTAACTCTATTCAAGAAATGTCGCAATTTCCTAAAACAATCCTTAAACATGAGACCCTATTAATATGACGGCTACACGCACATCTGTTTTAAAATCACCTCAAAGGCGATGCAAGAAGGTAGGTGATGATTTCGAAAATGGTTTCCATTTTAATCCTAAAATTTTAATAATCTTAATCCTTTTATTTTAAGTCACATAGAGCCTATATTGTATATGCACATAACATCTCATATATATATATATATATATATATATATATATATATATATATATATATATATATATTAAATCAACTTTCTGCTGCAGACTCATTTAGTGACTTATTGATAATAAAATTAAATAGTTTACAGGCATGAAACAGGGCCAAATGCATGCCGAGTCAGACCGACACGATTAAATCCTTCAGGTGCACCCAACCATAGGCACATCGATCTCGGGTCTTCTGTATCACCGGTAGTCCAAGATCAACCGCAGAATGGACGATGACTGGAAAATCCTTCTCAAACTCTGCAATGAACTTTTTATCCAGCTGCAGTTGATTTTAATAAAAGCAAATAATTGAGAGTTCATATACTATCACAACAGCAAGAGAAAAGCCATGGAATATGCTAGTAACAGAAATATTACCTTCTCAATGCACCTTGCAACATCCAGAACATAGCAAAAGTAAGAAAGTTGCCTATACAAGTCTGCCTCATTGTACTGTCTCACAAGACGACCGTTGCAGCGAGGATAATTTGGACAGACAGTTCCTCTTTCAGATTCACCTATCACTCTAAGGTTCAAGCCTCGTGTAGTGTATTTACACATCTCATCATCACACTAATCAAAGAACCAAGTAAAAGAAAAGTTCCATCATAGTTTTTAAGGTTAGACAATGGAATGATGATAATTTAGCTCTCACCGTCATCAGGCCTTTATAGTACAAGGAGATGAAATAATCTGCCTGCCTCTTCACCTGAAACAGAGTGGATTAGTGTAGTGGCAAACACTGTTGTGAAAATGACTAGTACAAAGATGTTCACCTGATTAGCTATCATTGCTGGTGTTATTTTGCAACCATCAACATCATCAGGGCATCTCGAGCATCGCATTCTGTGCCAAAAATTTACATCTGATTTCAATTCAGCCTGGGAATCAGAGGTGCTTTCATTGCTCCTGGAAGAAAAGAAGCTTGATACAGGAGGGCAGTCAAACGAACTAGAGCAGCTTGGGCATGATAACCGGAGTGGCTTGCAGCCATGATATCTGGAAGAAGTTGATTATTCAAACAAAATATATGCTGAATAAGAGCTGATAAACATAAGGTTAGACAAAATATTCACCTCTCGTCATCATTTATTACAGACAGAATTTCGTTTGAAGAATCCTTACTGCCAACATCCGATGACTTGTGTTGGAACTAAAGAATGTTACAAAATCATGTCAATTAACAATAAGTTGAGATGCTAAAAATTGCACAAGCTGTGCATTACCTTTGACGAATCAAGCCCAAGACAATCAGCTAGTCTTGCTGGGCTGGTGCCTTGAATGGAAGCGCATAAACGTGAAACTACAGGATGAATCTGCAGAAAATTTTAAACTATCAACTGAAAACTCTCTACTTGGAAACGTGTGATTATTCTGGAATACCAATGTAATTAGAAACCTGTTGTGACAAGTAATAGTCAATGTCGATCATCCATTCACCATTGTCTCTTGTCAGTTCCTCGGGATGCCTGGCTCTTTGTGCTATTCCACTGGAGGAACCAGAAGAAACGTCCTAATAAAAATAACAATTACAAACTACACAATCAAACTAATCATCAAAAGGCCACATCAAGGTTCTAATTTGGTACTCAGAAAAATTACAAAACCCCCAGTGGGGTTCATCAACTCTAATCCATCGAATAGTACTCATTCTACACAGCCCGTCAAGTTCATTTTTTCAACTAAAAATAAAAAATATAAAAAACATCAGCCACATAAGTAGCCATGGATTGACAAAGGCTAAGATGTTTGGCTCAATAAAAGTCAAGCTTAAATTCAGTTTAATTTCAATCTTCATTTCCATCACCAGACTCAAACAAAACCCTACGTTTAGTCAATAGATGAGTTTGGTCACGTGAGAAAAAGGTTTTCCCAAACAACTGTAAATCAAGTTGAACTGATTAATTAATGATTAACTAAGATATTAATCTAAACTGATTATAATGTAATTAAAAATAGAACTGATTAAATGTTTATTAATTAAAAAATATTTGTACTAATTAATGAGTAGTTTTATAAACAATTAACTAATGATTAACTAAATAATCTACTGATTCTAATGTAATAAAAAAAGAACTGATTAAATGTTTTATTAATTAAAATATTAATATCTGATCACACAAATTAATATATACGGGTATGTGCGCATGCATGTGTTTATCAAGAAATTAATTTAATCTTGATACTTTTAATGGTTAATTAAAAAATTATTGTATTGATTAATTTTATATTTATTTTTAATTAATTTATCAAAATACAAGTTATAATTAATTATCTTAATAAAGCACTAAATTAGTATTAGTTGCAACACTTAATCAGATTAAGTATTAATGAATTAATCTAGTTAAGATTGATTTAAACGAAATAAATATAAAGAGAAGTATGCATATGAATCCTTAAATTCTAGAATAAGCAATCAAATAACTTATGTGAACTTAACTAAATTCACCATCCATCAAACCGGACAATTTTTAGGATATAACAATATAAGATTTACAGGTTTTTTTTTTATAATTTTAATTTTTTTATTAAAATTCACCAAGTTAAAATCTACTTTCAGTCAAACAGTCCTAGGAATGGCAATACCTGCTGACAGCAAATAACATAAGGGATTGTGTCACCAGCCGAACAAGAGGAGTAGCCATTTTTCTTCAATCTTAGAGCCACCTACATAGGATAAAAGGGAGAATAAAGAAAAATACTAAACCTAAACCAATTAGAAATCCCAGAATTAAAATGCCTAACCTGCACATGAGGTTGGTTTTTAGCATCTGGATAATCTTCAGGTGGTTTTGTTAAGCTCTTTGTGATAACGAACTTTTCAAGTGCAACCTCTCCCTTCCTTATTTCTCCTTGCACCTTTATACAAAATGCTACAGATAAGTAAATGTAGTACAAAAAGAGGTTAATTGAATAGGAGCTTGTGACTAGTTTTCTCAGATAAGAACGAAGAAGTCAATACTCGATTGGATAGAATAAAAGTCACAGGCATATTTCACCTTCATCAGATAACCATGAATTGACTCGACAACATCATCACAAGTCCTGTAAAAATAAGACTCGATGTTCATAAAGGTTGTTAAATATTCTCAATGTGCTAGTATTATAGTCACAATGACCATCTATAAAGTAGAATTCATAAATCTCACATGAAAAATGCAACAAATGTGCCAGAGAGATGCTAAGTTAAATAAGGAAAAGTATGGTTTTTTAGCAAGTTCCTACCCTCCAGATAATATCTGGTTGAGACAGAAATCACCTATTTCTTTTGATAACAGACTCCAATCACGCCGAACCATATCAAGACCCTTGCGTTCAATAGCCTGAAACATGCAGCAAAAATCGCTTTGTTCGCAATATTGAAAGTTCCATAATTGAGAAAGGATAATATTAGCAATTCAACCTCATAGGCTATTCCGTCCTTGAATTGTACTTTAACAGCAGCATATTTCTTCTTCTTAAGAAGAAGCATTCTCTTGTATAAGCCATCAAGGTCAATCTCCAGACAACGATATTTCTTGTTAACCTGTAGGAATGCTAATTTAGTTCCATCATTTAAACAAATTAAACATTTCAGCATTTAATTTATAAAATGCTAGAAACTGAGGACCTTGTGGTGACTTGTATCACAATTATCCAGAAGAAAAATTGTGCATCATGAATTTAAGGGAAAAAAAAAAACCTGACCTCTTGAATGACTTTGGCCGCAATTGCTTTAGCTTTAGAAATGTCATCCAACCCACTATAGATCATGATAGAATCTGTATCTCCATAAACCACCTGCAAATCAACAAAAAAACTGAACACATAAATTGTTGATGCATATAACTTCTCCATGTAACTAATATGATGTATAAATATAGTAGTCAATAATGCAAAAGTAGTTAGAACTAGAATTTGCTAAAGTAATTAATAAGATGTACACTATGATTCATTGCAAAATGGATGGTCAAATCAAATATCACAAATTTGCAAACTACTAATGTAAATAAGTGATACTAGAATTGAAACCTAAGTGATAATTAATGGGTTAAACTCTAACATAGTCCCCTGTATACTTATATGCCCGGTTTATCCACAAATATTTTTTATTTTCGATTTAGACCCATGGCTACATAAAATTGATACAAAATAATGTCTCCAAGACTAAACTGAGATCAATTTTGTATAATTAGGGAACTAAATTGAAATTAATTTATATCATAAATTCTATAAATGGGATTACTTTTGGATTAATTGTACATGGTCAAAGAAAATTAGAGAAATGTGATATTCTGATATTGAATTGACTCCAGGCAAATAATCCAAGTTTCCACCAGCCGAAACCCCTACAAACAATTACTATTACTAGCAAATAAGAAATAAATCATGTAATACCAACTAACCAGTTAATTCCAACGCTCAAACGTCAAATAGAGATCTAGCTATTGTATTACATCAATATGCCCGATTTGAAAAAAATTGATTCAAATGAATCAAACTTTTAATATTCGCAAAGCAAATCTAAACATAAATTTGGTATTGTACCTACAAAACAATCCATGAATCATTAGGAATACCTTTAGAAACAAATTGTACATGTAGAATCATAAAGAAGAGGTGAAAAGAGAGGAGAATACGAGGAATTAACAATGAGTCATGAAATATGATTAAATTAATCACATCAAAAACTAAATCCATACAAAAATTCATGGAAATTTTACAAGCAATGATTTCAATATATTTCACAATTTTAATAATTCATACATTTGTTATATTCAATTTCTTAAAGGTACCTAATAAGAGCCTTTATCGATTTATGATTTTACCATTATGATATAAAATGAAAAAAAAAAATGGAAATGGTTGTGATTTTATGGTACAAAATGAAAAAAATTAGACGATGCTCCTGATGTGGCTTCTAAAAATAAAAAAAAAAATGAAAAAATTAAAATATAATTGAAAATTAGACGATGCTCCTGATGTGGCTTCTAAAAATGAAAAAATTAAAATATAATTGATAACTAAATATAATTTTATAAGAATGGAAAACGCAAACTTTATTTTGTATAAGCATATTCCTTTGAGCATTCATGTTAGAAATTTGCACAAAAAATTAATGCATAATAAAGTGGCAATTATTCACCAAGTTATTTAAATGTAAATTGTTATTTAGCTTTTCTTTAATAAAAGATCTATTAGATTGATATATCTGGTAAGAGGAAGTTTATTTACAAAAGTAGAGACTATTTGTGATAGATAGCAGACAGTCTACTTTTATGTTTTGTCATTTTATTTGTACAGTTAATTTTTATTGTATCACTAAAAAATCTTATGTGAATTGTTAAAAGTTATTTTATGTATTGTGAACTAGTGAATATTCTTAATATGAATAATATTATGGACTAATGTTAACGTTTAAAAATATTTCCATCCATTGTCCGACTGCCCACTCTCACCTTATTTAATTCTAAATTCTCAAGCTAGGCCGTGAAAGTTTGCAAAATCAAAATACGCTAAAAATTAATTATGATGTTCCAAACTCAAAAGAAAAAAAAAAAATTTAACTTCACTTTCAATCAAACACAAAAACTCAAAACTCCTGCATTTGAAATGAAGTAAACTCTGACCCTTCAACCCAAACAGCACCTAAAAGGATAGGTTTCCGCATCACCGACTTCAGTTATAGAAAAAGTGTGAATCATACAAGTTTCTTTCTTAAAATTCTTATGTTTCGTTTTAGGAAATATGAAAAGCATTGAGAACATAGATTAATAGAATAAAGTATACACACTAATTGTATTCTTTTGAGTTGTTGAGTCTTCATAATACTATCTGAAAGTTAGAAACCGTTCAAACGTATAGTAGCAAAATTAGTACCTCTAGGTTCAGGTTGTTCTGGACCAGATCCACGGTGCTCTGCAAAATCTCTCTTCCCTGCAATGGAAATACAGAACTGGTACAATCATTATGTGAAAGACAGGTAGGATTCATCTTTGACTTCCATTCATCAGATATTAATATTGAATCACATAAGTATGGCAATGGGCAATTTCATTTATTACTTGAATAACAGAATTTGAAGAGATAGGTCACATCATCAGTTATTTTTAAAAGATGTAATTTTTCTCTTTATATCCAATGCAGAATTTTGAATATGCTACCGAATGTCTACATGTAGGTGATATAAATTATTATAAGTCAACTTCAAGAAAAGCGCACCTCTACTGGCCACATGCCCAACAAAATCGGAAAACATTTAATTTACACAAACATGTTAAATTCAGGTCAATAGAGCTAGTTTCCGGGATACCTATGTGGACAAGCATATATATACATATGGAAAGCAATGAGACAACTTACTTGTGAAGTTATGAGCTCTGCAATTGGTTTTGCATAAAATCTTGAATTGGAAAAGCCCAAACAACCATACATACTGCAAAAATGACATGGTTATAAGAAAGCAGCATAAAAACCGAACAGGCTTGAAAAGAAGTATTCATGTAGCTGACTCCACTTAGTGGGATAAATGCTTGTAGTTGCTGTTGTTGTGGGCTTGAAAAGAAGTATTGACCTGTTAGCAGTTAGCTTCAACGCTTGCTGTTGGATATCAAGTTGTTGTACTTTGACACCAGAAGCATTCTTCAGCAATTTCTTTACTGTTCTTCTCCTTTCAACCAGGTTTCTCAACAACTACAAAGTCAAAATAAATGAGTTGAACAAAAGGATTTGATGTGCATAGAAAATTTATTAAGAATTAGATGCTATGAAAAATCAATTGTTTCCAAAAATAGCAAACTTACAACTTTGGATCTCATTCAATTACGCTTACAAAAACTATTTGAAACAATTTGAATAGGTGATGAATAACAATAAACATAATTTCTAGAAAATTACTTTTAGCGTCTTCCTTTGAAAAAGACATGCTATTTTTTGTATCAAGCAAGAAGACGCAGCATCAGAAGAGTTATAGAATTTCACGTCATGCTCCACCTTGCCAACTCACCTCCAAATATAAAAATCTTCTCAGATTGCAGGTTTTAATGCTCTGATAATTTTACTAAACTCCATGAGATTGTGTTCTTAGGAACAAAATAGAATGCCAGAACCTAAGCACTATTTTGAACAGCAAAAAGCTTTTATAACAAGGTAGCTACATGATTTCTCTTAAAAAATATAATTGATGAGTAATATTTTAAAAAAATTAAATTGACTACAAGGCTACAACGATTTACAATCAATTAAAATTATTAATTAAAAAATAGAATAAAAAATATTAAATTATATTTAAATGATGTTTTACTATAAATAATAAAGATTTAAATCTCGCCCAAACCATTAACATTCTAAAGCTGTGTGACTAGGGTTGTCAAAATGACTTGTTGTTCACGAACAACTCATGTTCGGCTCTCTAAGAAAACGAGCCAAACACGAACACTTTTTTTTTTGTTCGAAATATAAAAGAGCCAAACATGAACATGAACGTGATAAACGATCAGGGGCTCATTCGTGTTCGACTCGTTTACACCCATTAATGATACTAACTGTTCACTCAGTAATTTTATTTCATTCCAAAATCTTACTGAAATTCTTAAATCTTTGCTTTCATTTCATTATCAGCTGAGTTTAAAAACTATTTTTCCCCCAATTTCTCTTGAATGAAGCAAGTTCTTTGAATTAATTGGTAACATGTGATCTCTTAATCACCGTTTTTTTTTAATGGAAGCGACGTAAATGGAAAAAGATATTAATATTGAAGAACCTTAACGGATATAATTATTAGACGATACTCCTATGACGATTATACAAACATATAATAATATAAATATATTATTGATATAGTAAAACACAATAAATAACATGAAATATTGTTAGTCATCATATTCATAAACTATTAAATGTTTATACTGATTTATTAAAAATCTAATTGACATGCATATTAATTTTTTTCCTTATATTATTGTATTTTATGAGTGTGAATATTCATTGACTTTGGTTAACTCACTATTGCATTAAACTAACTTTTCAAGTGTAATTAATTGATTAAAAGATGAGTAATATAAGAGAATTTATAGAAAACGCGGACAAACTAAAAAGATAATTTTAATTGTATTGTTTTAATTTAATTTATTTAGTGTCACTTTATTTTTTGAATGTTAGTTATAGAAAATGAATATAAAAAAATTGATCCCCAGCATTTGACCGTTTGTACCCTCCTTGGTTAATTCCAAGTATCAGGTCGAGTCATGACAATTAGGCCAAAGCAGTCAATATCTAGATGGGTGAGAGTTCGGGTTGTTACAAATGATATCAGAGCATTACACCAGTTGGAATATGAGAACTAAGTATCATATAAAACAAAATGTTACACCATTAAAGCCACCTCTTGATCCCTAGATAGGACAATGTGCTACATTATGCAAGCTACCTTTTTGAATCTATAAGGGTCACCTCTAGAATTCTATATGCTTGGTGGATGATTTTGGGTTATGAAAACTAACAAGAATGTTTATTACTTAAGTGGGGGAGATTGTAAAACCCCTTAAGTAGTTAAGAATGAATTTGAACTCTTAAACATCTTTTTAGATGTAATGATTGGAGTTTCGATAAAAAACTTCGAAGCTAAACGTGCTCGCATTGGAGTACTCTTAGGATGGGTGATATCCTAGGAAGTTAACATAAAGAGACAAAATTGTTAGTTCATTGGGTTGACCTTAGACCACAGTAGATAATATCTCAATGGCTAAGAGTTTAGAATATCAAAGCATTACAATAGCCTGAAAATGTGAACTAATTGTCATACAAAACAAAGTGCTACATCATGGAAGCAATCTCTTGACCCAAAATAAGAAAGAACGCTATATGACAGGAGCCACCTCTTTGAATCTATAAAGGCCAACTCCAAAAATCTATCCTGGTGAATGATTCAGGGTTACGAAAACCAACAAGATGTTAGTTACTTAAATGAGGGAGATTATGAAATCTCTCATGTAGAATAAAAATAAACTCTTAAACATTGAGATGTCTTTTAGTGTAATGGTGAAATTTCATCAGAAACTCCAAAGTTAGGTGTGCCCGTGTAGGAGCACTCCTAGGAAGGTTGCACTAATGGGGCAAAGTCATGAGGCCATTAGGCCAAAGCATACAATATTTTGATATGTGAGAGTTTAGGATGTTACAAAAAGGTCTTATGAATGCACTTGCTCACTAAAACAATTGATTCTTGTGGGTGCTAGCAGTAACTAAGAGACACACCAAATATGAATGTGATGAACTAAGACTTATGTTGAATCACTAGTTATCTACAAAAGAAAAATGCACCTCAGGTAAGATCCCAGCATTCTTGGATGATGGTAAATTTGGAACTATATCATCACTGGGCCTTTCAACTGTAGTAAAGCAAATATTGTACTCCTGTGTGAACAAAATCACAATCAAATCTCAAGCATTAAAAACTACTAGAATTTGATGAAAATTTTAAGATAACAAACAATTAAAATATTAGTTGATAGAAAACCAATTTTGAATCAATTTTAGAAAGCAAGACAATACCTGAATAATAGAAGGGTAAAGGCTATTAAAGTCCAGAAGTAATATGTATTTGTCATATAAACCCTTCTTAGGTTCCAAAACTAACCCACCAGAGTATGCAGGGCTTTTTCTCCCTTTTCCATGAACATGACTTTCAATATCAAGGGCAGCGTAATTTAAGTCATCAGCATCCTCACCATCCAAACCAGCTGTTATTTTTCTTTTATTTGTAGTTGACTCAATTCTTCGAGCAGAAAATTTGTCAGGCACCATGTACTTTTTTGCATGAAAAGCATGCAATAATAAGTATTCCACCCGTTGTGCTCGTGCGCCCTGAGAAATCCAATGTGAAAATTCCGATGAGCATCTTAGAATGAGTATAATTAGAAAGGTTTAGGATAATAGACAACTGACCTGGAGAGTTTTTCCCCAGAGATTGCCACTGATGTTTGTTAGCTGCCTTGTCAAGGGAAGAACACTCAGATAAAACATAAGTTCCAGAGATAGCCAAGCATCAGTCTCTCCATATTCAACCTGCACCGTAAGTGACATACCATCATTAACTGACAATAAAAAGTATTATTTAAAAGAAAAATATTAAATAATAGTGTGCAAACACTACATAAACTCATTATTTAATGAAGGAAGCAACTGATATACATTGTGACAGCAGTCACAGGCACAAACACGTACCAATTGAAGCAGTGCAGCTGATGTTTGGAACATCACAGGAATATCATGAGGGTTAATCTCCTTCCTATCTTTATTAAGTTGAGTTTTCGCGAGTTGTGTCAACGAATAGCTTACCTTGAATTGTAAATAAAATTGAAAAGAAATTTAAAAAAAAAAAGATAAAAGATTCTCACTCAAACTATGAAATCTTGTATAAATCTGAATTACCTCCTTCAAGAGATCTCGAGAACTCAAATAGGTATCACATAAAAGTCGTCCTGCAACGCAGGACATGATTCCTGAACTAGCTCCAGATCCATAAAGCACACTCCCTTTAGTAAGCTTAGGCATCATAGAACGCTTGAGACGGCCTAACTTAGACCACATGCTGCTAGGTACCTTACAAGCCTGTATGGGTGGAATAGCATAAAAAGTGCTTCATAGCCTATTGCATTAACTTTTTGGATATTATTGAGAAGGCAAGCCCTTCTCAAGTAAAAGAAAAGCAATGAAGGTGAAAATAAAGCCTTCTTATTGAATAGAATCTATAACAACATTAACATAAAGTCATTCTTACATCAATACAGAAGCTGAACGCAAAGAAAAAACATCTCCCACCAACTAATAAAAACTAATGCAACTCCAAAGAATTTATAATTTATTCGTATACCCTGACATCTTCACCACACCTCCACATGCAATTATTAAGATATGTTTGGTTAAATTTTATCTTTTTCAATGACTTGCACAGTTGGCGAATGGTGAAGTAACAAGTATAGTCTGTAATTAAAACCTGTGCTCGATGGAGAAGAACATCAAGATCAAAACCAGAAATGTTGTGTCCAACAAGCACATCGCAATCCAATTTATGGAGTTCAATCATCAAACGATTTAACAAGGCTCTTTCACTGCAGTTAATGCAAAAAAAAAAAAAAAACAAAACAATGGATTTGCCTTCTGCGATACGCAGGGAAGAAAATAGAGCATTTAAGAGAAATGATACGGTGATATAGAACCTGCTTTCTAATGCCAATATATTTGTGCCAGCCTTTGAGTTTCTATCAGCAACCTCTTTTTGAAGACCGATTGGGAATATATCTCCATCAAGCTTTCGAATGATAGAAAAATGGCTAAGCATTCCCTTTCTTTTCCATTCAGAAGCCATCATTGGGCCATCAACCTGAGATGCATGCTTAAAGTTAAGAGGTGGTATGGGATAATTAAGAGCAGTACGCATATCACTGAACTACACATTTATAGAAATCAGTAATTGAGCAAGTAATTATATTCTAGAAACAAATCTCTAGCAAATTTAATCAAATAGTCCCATTTTCGGCCAAATTTATATGGGCGAACAACCCAAATATAAACAACTACTTCAAAAGTGAACATCTAACCTTTGCCTTGTGACAACAGACCACAGCTGCTGAGACAATTTCATTAGCATTTTTCTCGGTGATGATAGTCTTTAGGTTTATTGCCGCGACTATTACTGGAGGAATTTCCATAAAATTATTTGAGCTACAGCCAGCTATATCCTTGGAGCAATTAACCACAACTTCAAATTTGCACCAGCTGACCTGTTATGGTATTCAATTAGCATAAAATTTCGAGTTTAGTTCACAAACAAACCTCAATTCTTGTCACATAAACTATAATATGGAAGCAATAGATGACTGCCGGTTTTTCAATTAAGAAAAATGTATTCACACCTTTTCAGAAGCTGTGCTGCTGACAAACCTTGAAATTGATAACCAGGAGGGGCCCTTAATTTTCCTTTTAATTAAAAACAGCTCCAGAGCACTGAAAAATAAGATCTTGTTCAAAGCTTAGGGAAAATGACTTACATATGTGTTGGTATTTAATAAAAAAAAGAATCACAGTACTGATCCCCTTTTGTCATCGACAACCTTCAATAGAAAATTTTAAGTTTATGAGCAGCATTACAGGTAAAATGATGAAGCTCCTAAATAAAGACAAGTACATAATCACATACCAATGATTAAACTTTAAGCAACATAAGAAAAAAACTTCATCAGATCATTTGGCAACATATTCCAGCTTCAAAATTGTACCACGTAGAGTGATACTCAGATGTTTTGCAATGATTTTTTGTTTTGTGAGCTCGTGACACACTTATTTGAGATTTGAATAAATAACACAATATATGTGCCAAAACATGGAAAACTCGCACTTCAAATAATTTTATGCAGTGTAATTAGGCTATTTTTTGGAATAAGATCAACTTGCTGGTGCATTTTCAGTTAAAAGTTAGCATTGAACCTCCCGTGCTTCAATTTAAATATGAATAAAACTTTTGTATTTTGAAGATGCTGACCAGTCCTGTTCTTCGCAGGATATAAGAAAATAAAATTTCAGGAGTTAGAGCAATCTTCTTTGCTACTCTGAAGTTTAACAAAACACGGTTTTATTGACATCAAGTCCATTTGTCTTTACCTGCACTGAGTCCCTAGTAGTGCAATAAAGTTTTCACCCTTGAGATCTGCTGGGAGAGGTGGATCCTGGAATTCATGCAATTATTATAACTTAGCCAAACTACTGCAAATTTAAAGAAACCACAAAATCATATCCAAATGGCATACCTTGAATGGATATCTGACCTTAACGACATAATATTGTCCTCTAGGTATGTCACCGCGCTCAAATGCATAACCACGCTGAATTTTAAGTTTATAAAGGTAGATAAGCTTATGAAACCAAATGCAAAAGAAGAGAATAACTGAACACTTCAATGACTAATAGCCATCCACTGGAATATATAAACTTGATAGCAAACCTTAACAGGCAGCATGGAAATTGCTGAAACGTTAAGATCCAACAATCTTTCTGTTATTTCATTTTTCAATTCGGATGCCATCTCCTGGACAGAAATAAAAAATAAAAAATCTATTTCATCAGCCCACATGACCAGTCACCATGGTCAAAATCAGAGAATAATTCTACAGCAGAAAGTTAAGAATAAGATACTAATAAGAACCATTACTTCCACTGGCAAATAAGAAAGCATGATCGTTACCATCATTATAACTCAAGTAAAATGTATCATTTGAATGAACATGTTTGCCAACTTACTTGGAGAGCTCCACGAGAAGCTGAAGGAGAATCCGGAAAATTTCTCTCAATGTCTGCTACTTTGTCGTTAGGAAACACAGAGCTCCTAGGGATAACATACAAACATCTCTGCATGTTCTTTACGACCACACAACAACTATGATATGTACCAGCTGCTTTAACCTAATAGATATGTAGGGGGAAACAAGTCAAAGCAATTCACCTAGAGAATGTAAACTTAAACGCACCGTATCGGATGATTGCTGTTGTCAATTAGTTCTAAGAGGATATAATTTACTAGAGGCAAGACAATTTTCCTCCTAGAATAAAGATCGATAATTTGTAAACATTGAAAATAATTTATATTCAAGGATATAATGATTTTGATGGCAGACTAGTTATCAATAACCAAAACATGAATGAGAAAAACTTGCAGAAACAAGATTTCATGTTATGGATTCCAGAATTTTACCTTCCCAAAAAGATATAAATTTCCCATATTGGCACCATAAGATTCCTCGTGAGCATCGATTATATAGAAAGGCAAAGATCCATCAGAATCTAGCTCAAACTCAGACTTCTCGTCCACATTTCCATTCGATTCAACCTTAATCCCTACACCACATCCTTCTTCGCTGCAGACTGCCTTCCACCCAGCAGTGGCACTAGCCACAATTTTTTCGTCTTCCTTCTTTATCTTTGCGTTCAGTGAAAAGCCCTTATCGTTGGATCTTGCTTCTGCTTCCACGTCCTCGCTGATGCTTGCCTTACCCGCAACTAATTTAGCCGTCTCCCCCTCTTCGACCACGAATTGTATGCACGCATCCTTCTCGTCTATTGTAGCATCTTGTCCGTAATCCTCATTGTCATTATCCTGAACCTGCGCCATGAATTCAGCATTGGAAGCCGATTCGGGTACTAGGATAAGACTGCATCTCCGACTTGATCGGTACAATAGAAGGTAAGGCAGAACTTCGTGGTCCCGTGGCAGAGCCCCTTCGCCTCTTCTCTCGATCGGTCTCGTCCGGAGCGAACTCAGCAATAAGATCGTCAATTAAACTATCGGAGGAAACTGGAGGCCCCTTCGCCCGATCATTCTTCTTAAAGACCGAAGAAGTGAACATCGAAGAAAGCCGCTGCTTTCCCATCAGCGAGGCCGCAGCCGATAGAGAAGAAGGTGGTGCTTTCTTAACCGCGTTCTCCTTCTTCTTCGCCGCTTTCTTCTTAATTTGTTTCTCCTCTTGGCCTTCTAAAGATTCCTCGTCAGAGGAGTAAGCGAGGCTAGGGTTCGACCAATCCACCTCATGACCGTCGTCAGCGTATCCGAGGCCATCGTCGTCGACGATAAACCCCCCTACATCTTCACGTCGGCGGGCAACAAGGGCATCGTAGTCGTCCTCTTCGACTGTGTCGTAGATTGGCTCCTCCATTTTGATCTGAAAGCCGACGCCAGCAGCGGACCGCCGCCCTCCAGATCTACGGAGGGTCTTGAGGCGTTCCAGGGCCTCTGCACGGACAGCAACATCCTGGCCTTTGGCACGACTCCGGCGGCCGTGGACGGAAGATTCCGGCATGGCCCGCTTGCCGGAGAGGTGGAAGAACAAAGCCGGGTTTCAGAGGGCAATCTTTGGGTTTGTGAGGCTCGTGATGGCGTCGTGCTTGGTTCCACTGCTTGCAGGCACAGGCGATGAATGGGTATTTTGCAAGAGTGGGGATGGATTTGAAGACATAAATTTCCCCTTTTTTTCTGGCGGGAAAACCCTCTCGGATGAGCGCTATGCTGTCAAAACGTCTCGTTTTTACATTCATTCGCTCATGAAACATCCATAATTTAGTGGAACACGAATAAAATTTAGCGTGTATATAATTATTGAGTATTATTTTTATATATATGTATTATATAATTTTTAAATACATATATATGTATGTATATAATTATTTAGTATTATTTTTAAATAATTTAATGGCACAAAAGTATAACCAGTTATATTTATTAATTAAAAATAAAATAAATTTTATTAAATCATATTTAAATAAATATGCTAATATAAATAAAATATTAAAATATTGTTCAACATTTAACATGTTGCGACTTTGTGATTAGGGCTGTCAAAATACATCATTGTTCGCGAGCAGCCATGTTCGATTGAACAATCAATCGAGCAAAATGCAAATAAATTTTTGTAGCCGGATATATAAATGCGTGGAACACAAACAATTATATTTTTTGACAAATCGAGCTTAGACTCATTCATTCATGCTCGGCTTGTTTACATGCCTAGTGATTGCATGTGTTGTTAGGGTTGTTAAAACTGTTTCTTTTTCGTGAACAGCTCATGTTCAGCTTGCTAGACAAACAAAGTCGAACATGAATATTTTTTTCCCAAAATTAAAGCGAGTTGAACACGAACAATGACATTTTTTAATGAGCTGGTCCCGAGTTAGCTCGTATTTGGCTCGTTTACACCCCTAAAGAGCGTCATTTTGGTGCTAGCATAGATTGGGGGAGCCCAGGGTTGCTATGGTATGGTTGATTTATTAAAAAATATTACTATTCATTTTTAGTTCCTTAATATGTCGAATATACAAGTTTATTCTTGTTTGGTTCATTTGCAAAACAAGCTAGACACGAGTTATTTGTGAACAACGAATCATTTTGATATTAACAGTCATGCAGGCGTAGGATATTAAAGATTGGGGCGAGATTTAAATATTATAATTATTTTAAAATATTAAATTAAACAAAACTTAATATATTTTATTCTATTTTTAAATAATAATTTTAATTGATTATGAATCTTTAGTCTTGTAGTTAATTAAAGGTCTATTTTGGACAGCTGTAGCTTATTGAATAATTTGTTGATAAGCTAGGTGCAGTAACGATTACAAATTTATATTTTTTTTGAAAAACCTGTCACTGCATTTAGATAGGTGCGGTGTGAAAACACTGTTTTCAGCGTTTAGAAAACGCATAAGCTGTCAAAACGCACTTTAACCAAATAGGATAAGTGTGTTTTCCAAACGCCACAGCAACAAATAAGCTGCCCCAAACGGAACCTAAATTATTTAAAATAATACTCATCGATTATATGTATTTATTTACATATACTAAGCCAAAAGAAGACTTAGTGCTCGTTTGTGGTAGCTTATTTAGGTGCGGCGGCGTTTTGAAAACGCCGCCTTGGTGTTTGTTTAATGAGTTCATCCTGGCGTTTTTAAAACGACGATAATCGCTTTCTTTTTTTCCTTCTACACATCAGACACGGGGCTCCTCTTGCGTTCGGCGTTTGTTAAGATTCTAATTTCTCTCGTGCCCCTGCGATATCTCTCTAGTGCTTTCCCTCGCCATCTCCTTTCCCGATCTTCTCCTTCGTAAACAATGATTCTTCTGGTGAGATCTATATGTCGCAATGCTTTCTGGTTGGTTTTATGAGGCTTGATTCGGTTATCGTTACTTTTTTTGCAAGAATTGGTTTTCTGTAGGGTTGTCTTTAGGATGCCTTTTGTTGGATTTGTGGGAATGTGTTTATTGAAATGGATATGAGGTTTTTGTTGAGTTTTGTAAGCGTTTTTTTTTATTATTTTTTTTTTATTTTTTTTTAGGGTTTTCAGGAGAAATGCAGATGAGCAATGGTAGAAACTTTGGTTCGCAATGTGGGAAACTTTGGTTCGCAATTTGTTATTCTCGTCCCTATTCTTTTATGCAAAATATTCGTTCGAGAAGTGGGAATCGTTTAACTGTTGGAATGTGCTTCAATGCGTCCCTTTTATATTGCTCTTCAAGGAATGTGCTTCAATGCACTCCCTGCTATGTTGTTGGAATTGTTTGATAGCATTCCCTGTTATATTGTTGGAATTGATTGATAAGTTTTTTATGCTGTGCTTCAATGGAATTCCCAGTTACAAAAAGTCGGAACTCATCAGTTCGAACTGCTGGAATTTTTTAGGTGCACCTGTTACATTCTTGCTCTTACTATATATTGGATTTCAAGAATAGAGATTTTAATTCTCATAATGTTGGCAGCACTTGATTTTGGTAGCATATTGGAGTGCTACATTTTAGAATAGTTGAATCTGAGGATATATGATGATCATATTTGTTGACATTCCCTTGTATTTATTTTATGCCCATGGATGTTACTCTTTCATATATGTTTGTTGTCGAGGTTACTAGATTTTGGCATTTGTTTTGCTGCACCTATTATATAGAATGTTACTACTTTGATGCCAAGGCTAGAGAGGAGATACAATGATAATATGTTTTTTTGGTCTTTAGAAATTTGGTTATTATATTTTGGCATTTCCTATGAGAGGAGATACAATGCTCATATGTGAAAGTTTATGTCCTTTGACAATTTTTGACATTTCCAACTATTTCTGATAAAGATATGCAGTGCTTATATTTTAGAGCTTCTATGGCAGCTGCTTCCGTTTGAATTGGGTTCCACGACATATATGAAAAGTTTTATATCAAATCTAATGTGTATTGTTCTATTTTCACACTATTTGTATCAAATGTAGGATGTCTATCGAGAACCATTGCTATGTATATGAAAAACATAGCTATGTAACCTTACACAATTTCATAATAAAACATATTCGGTGTTTTGCTGTGGATGTATGTCTTTGACCGAACCACATAATTCTTTTGTGTCATTATTTTTTAGTTTTTCTTCTGTGAGCCTTACCTATTACTTCAATTGGATTTGTTGTGGATGTTTAGTCAATTTCTGGATGTCGATTAACTTATTAAATTTTATCTATGTGTTCTTTCTCTTGTTGGTGCATTTAGCTAATTTTCCTATGCATGTTTAGTTACAAAATGAATTTCTTTACACAATATGTAATTTTAATATAGTGTCACAATGTTTAAGACAAGTGAAGGTGGTCCCTCAGCGATGTGGGATAAGGAGCTTACAATTATTTTTTTCACCATCTGCATCACCGAGATTGAGATCAGGAATAGACCGACCACCTATTTCAACAAGGAAGGTTGACATAGCATATCTAAGAGGTTTAAAGAATTGACTAGAATGGATTATGACATGTTGAAGTTTAAAAATAAATGGGATCAATAAAAATTAGTGAAAAATTTGGAAGGAGCTGAAACGTGGATCCATGGGATTGGGCTGAGATCCAATCAAACGGACAATTGATGCTCATAAGGAATGGTGGGCCGAGAAATGAGAGGTAAAATTGTCATTATGTTTTTGTAACTTACAAAATTTTTCATTTTAAACAATTATCCTTCTAAACCCTAAATCTTTATTGTAATGTTTTAGGCAATGCTGACAGCAAAAAAATACAAGCAGGGCAAAATTGACCCTGATCTTGAAGATAAACTTGACATTATGTTCAAGGGGGCAGTGACAACGGGAAAGCGTGCATTTAGCCCGTGTGAAATTGGGTTTGCAAGAATACCTGATGATTTTCCACCAGATCTAGTAGCAGTTGACGAATACATAGTGTTAACCAGAGGGAGATGGGGGAATCAAGCTCGCAGATGAAGAGGCCAAGGCTAGGAAGAAGAAAGAAAAAAAATGATACTTTTATCCAAACTTCATTTGACAGATTCATAGATGCTTTTGGAGCACCACCACCTGCTCCACTACCTGACAACACTATCTTTGATTGTCTTCGCACTTTGAAAAGCATCCCTGAAGTTGTAGTAGATAAGCACTTTTATGCAATATGTATGAAAATACTCGAGGATCCAACACGTAGGCTCATATTTATGGTGATGGAACCAGAGTTCCGAGTTGAATAATTACGTGTTATTGTTAATGAATGAGTTCTTAGAATTGTTTTCATGTAATCTGCAAAGTTATGAACTCATATGTTATTTGGAGTTGTGTTTCTTTTTTTAAATGTAATTTTAATTGATTCCTGAATGCATATTAGCAGATCTTTTATTTTATTTAAAATGTAATTTTACTAACTGAGTTTTCTCATTATTTATTTCTTTCGCTATATTGGTTAATAATTGATGAAATAACCGAGGTCTTTCTTTCATTAGGATGGATCCACAACATGAACGTCGTAAGAAAATGACATGGGTTGCAGCTCTTGCCATATTACTGTTGAATTATTGCCGATCAAGCAGAAATTGTATACCCCGATTGACCTCCAGTTTTGTTGGGGATAAATAGGTTGGCGAAATGCTTTTGGGCATCCTTTTAGACACTATATATTTTGTCACATGATGAATCAATTAGGGGTGTTATGGAGAGATTTCAACATTCATCAGAGACAATAAGTTGTTATTTTTCTAAAGGCATACAAGCACTTGTTGACTTAGCTTCTAAAAACATTAGGCCAGAGGATCCATCATTTGCCAATACTCTAGGTCAAATTGCAGTTGATCCCCGTTACATGCCTTACTTTAAGGTAACCATTATTTTATTTACTATCATAATAATACATAAATATCTTCTAACATTATAAAATAGAACTGCATAGGTGTAATTGACGGTACTCTCGTTGATGCCTGAATACCCAACCAGGACTAGGTGGCTTATGTTGGCCGAAGTGGTTCAACTACTAAAAATGTCATGGTGGTATGTGACTTCAACACTTGTTTCACATATGTTATGGCTGACTGGGAAGGGAGTGCACATGATAGTCGAATTTTGCTTATGTTACGAGAAATAGATCGCAAGGTTTTCCACATCCGCCTCCAGGTATGTATTGAAGTTTAAAATTCCAAGTTATAGGTATTTATTGCAAATAACAATAATTTTCATAACAGGAATATACTATTTGGTTGATGCTGGACACTCATTGCAGAGGGGCTATCTCAAACCATATTCAGACACTATGTATCATATTCCTGATTTTGAGCGAGCAAGCGACATTATTCGTAGTAGGAAAGAAATGTTTAACAAACGACACTCCTCTTTACGTGGGGTAATTGAAAGAACGTTTGGTGTGTGGAGAAAGAAATGGTGATCCTACGTGATATGTCGTCATATCTATTTTAGAAGCAGGTGCATATTGTGGTGGCAACAATGACACTTCATAACTTCATACGACGACACCCTTCACGTTCAAATATGGACTTTAGTATGACTTATAACGAAGAGCTGACAGTCTATGAAGAACCATCATAAAATATGATCGGGCCTTCAGTTCCTGAGGATGAAAATGAATTTAATGAATTTGTAGTTCATCATGGCGCGGAGGGTGTGGCTGAGATGATTGCTCTGAGGGAGTCTATAGCAGATGCTATATATGACGGCTAATCCAGCAAGTTTGTCTTAACTTCGTATATATGTAGATTAATTTTTACGTGTATTTTTGTGTTATCGTGGTCTACCGTCTCCGTTACTCACGTCGCGTCAGTCTCATAGTTTTGGGAGGCAGTTCTACGGTTGTGCCAAGAGGTTTCTGCTTGTTGCGGCTTCTTCCGGTGGGCTGACAGTCCCTCATATTACACTGTCAGCAATCATGAGAATTCAGTGTTTTCTCAGGTTGACAGTGCATATGAGAACAGACGTAGCCAAAGTCTGAAATTAAATATTTTAATATTTCTCTTTGTAGTTGTACTTGTATTTGTACTTTTTTATTTCTTTTGGTACTCACGAGAGTGTGAGAACTGTATGTCATATTTTGGAACTGATCTGTGATGATTGTATGCTTCTGCATTATATGTTTTTGTACTACCAATAAATTATTTTGAATAAGCTGTCTCAAACAGTTTTATCAAACGGGCTGAAATGTCATTTAACCACCAATAAACTAATCTGAATAAGCTGTCCCAAACAACAAACCAGATTATTCTGATAATCTGCAGATTCTCAGATTACCAGAGTAATCTAATCTGTTTATCAACAAATTATAAATAATCAACAGTTACGCCAAACAGACCCTTAATTTGAGACACTCACTGACATTTTTTTTTTTCGCAGTTATACAAACATGACTTCTAGGATATTAGTTACATACAGAGATATTTTATGTTATTGTGGACTACCGTCTCCTTTGCTCACGTCGCGTCAGTCTCATAGCTTTGGGAGGCAGTTCTACGGTTGTGTCAATGGTGTTTCAGCTCGTTGTGGGTTCTTCCGGTGGGCTGACAGTCCCACATGTTACACTGCCAGCAGTCATGAGAATTTGATGTTTTCCCAGGTTGATAGTGAAGTTGAGGACAGTCGTAGCCTGAGTTTGAAATTAAATATTTTAATATTTCTCATTGTAGTTATACTTGTCTTTGTCCTTTTTTTTATTTCTTTTGGTACTCACGAGAGTGTGAGAACTGTATGTCATATTTTGGAACTGATCTGTGATGATTATATGTTTATGCATTATATGCTTTTGTACTACCAATAAATTATTCTGAATAAGCTGTCTCAAACAGTTTTATCAGACGGACTGAAATGTCATTTAACCACCAATAAGCTAATCTGAATAAGTTGTCCCAAACAACAAGCCAGATTATTCTGATAATCTGCAGATTATCAGATTATCAGAATAATTTGCTCATCAACAAATTATAAATAATCAACAGTTACGCCAAACAGACCCTTAATTTGAGACACTCACTGACATTTTTTTTTTATTTTTTCGCAGTTATACAAACATGACTTCTAGGATATCAGTTACATACAGAGATATTTTGTGTTATTGTGGACTACCGTCTTCGTTGCTCACGTCTGGTCAGTCTCATAGCTTTGGGAGGCAGTTCTACGGTTGTGTCAATGGTGTTTCAGCTCGTTGTGGGTTCTTCCGGTGGGCTGACAGTCCCACATGTTACACTGCCAGCAGTCATGAGAATTTGATGTTTTCCCAGGTTGATAGTGAAGTTGAGGACAGTCGTAGCCTGAGTTTGAAATTAAATATTTTAATATTTCTCATTGTAGTTATACTTGTCTTTGTCCTTTTTTTTATTTCTTTTGGCACTCACGAGAGTGTTAGAACTGTATGTCATATTTTGAAACTGATATGTGATGATTGTATATTTCTGCATTATATGCTTTTGTACTACCAATAAATTATTCTGAATAAGCTGTCTTAAACAGTTTTATCAGACGGGCATAAATGTCATTTAACCACCAATAAGCTAATCTGAATAAGTTGTCCCAAACAACAAGCCAGATTATTCTGATAATCTGCAGATTATCAGATTATCAGAATAATTTGCTTATCAACAAATTATAAATAATCAACAGTTACGCCAAACAGACCCTTAATTTGAGACACTCAGGCTTTGTTTGGGATAGTATTATGTTTACTTTGTGTTTTAGATAATCAACATGGTTTATTTGGGTTTTTATGATTTTTTAGCATCAACATGGTTGATTTTGTTTTTTTAGCCGAAAAAATAAATAAATCAATGTCAAGTTAGTGTAACAATGGTGTCGTATCATTTGAAAAAAAATATTATGTTGTCGACATTCTCAGGAAATTACGGTGGGAAAATGTTGTTTTACAACTTGACATGACTAAATGTAATAACTACTAAATAGCTGCGGTTTGATTTTAAGAAAAAAATAGCAATAACTGTCACAGATTCTTAAACAAATACTTCTTCAGCAACAGCTTAACAACTTTTCCAAACGGTTGCAGGTAACCCAAACAAACCCTTAAATGACCAAAATTTTAAATGAACTTATCTCAAATAGCATCATATAAGCTCAAACCAAGTTAAAACAAAACTTAAATAGTCAAGCTCAAACAATCTCCTATTTTAGCAGGTGATATATATCATGTTAAGAAATGAATTAGAAGTCGTTATTTAAGACCAAAGGATCAAGGACTGTATAAATTATCACATGTCATTTTGTAAAATAGTATTCGCTTATCAAAATGTGCCTTTTGATAATTTAAGTAATTATATTTTTAAATGAGAGCTATTGCAATGTGAATGATCAATGATTCCCATCATTAAATAAAATGTGTCCAAAGATCTTCCAAGAGTGGTTTAATGACTTGATCCAGGCTTGATTTGACTCATATTAGACTAACTTTAATATCATTAGGTCCGTCTCATCAAGTCAGTCTGTTTGACCATAAGTTTGCTGAAATCGGAGCTTTGGATGACTTTTTATCAAGATTTGAATGCTTCATGTTTAAAATATCATCTCGAGATTCGTGTCGGATGATGAAAATTTATTGGCGACGTATCAGATCTTCTTTCTCGTTGCAGTAAAGAGGAAAGTCGTTCCCGTTCTACGTAGCAGGAAAGCAACGAGATCTTCTTTCTCAAGACGATATTTTAAGCAGGAAATATTCAAATCTTCATAAAAAGTCATCCAGAGCTTCGATTTCAACAAACTTATGATTAAATAGACCGGCTCGATGAAACAGACCTAATAATATCAAAGTTAGTCCAATATGAGTCAAATCAAGCCTGCATCAAGTCATTAAAGCACTCTTAGAAGATCTTTAAAAATATTTGGAAGGTCAAATGAATTGCAAAGCTATCAAGTTTATACTCGAATCAAGCGTCTCGACAAGACAAATCCAACGAGCCCAAGATCACTCAATTCTGATATCATTAAGACACTCAAATGTCCATTAAACATCATATGAACGAGGGAAGCTCTCTAGACCATTCGATCAAAATGGTTCATATTTCTGCATTAATTGCACCCATAACACTATAAATAGAGCCCAATTCCTCTCATAGTGGGGAGGAGAAGCTTCAAAGAGAATTTGAAGCTCTAAGAATGAGCTGAAGTCCAACACCATGCCGACGTCGTCGACCACCATCGATCGCCATCCGCTGCAGTCGGGTCGTCGTCGACACTCGTTGATCGTCGTCATCCACTGTCGACCGTCACTGTCAATCTTCACCAATCATCATCGATCACTACCAATCAGACACTGTCAGTCATCGTAGTGGGACATGAGCTCATCACTACGGTCCATGTGTTAACAACAATCTACATGGTTCATAGCTATAGCAGCTCCCGACTCCGGCCCCGGTGGCCTACGAACGTCATTCATACTCGCCACTACGGTCTATGTGATTCACAACTCTTGTAACTGCTTACTACGGTTTCTCTGACTAATCAACACTTCTGGAGCAGCCATCTACAACACTCACGATAGACTACTACATGCACAACAATCAACAATGGCCCTTGCAACCTGCTGTCACCAAGAACTACAGTCATATTATAGTTATACAACTTTATAATTCCATATTCCATAAGTTATGGAAAGAATGAACAGACGTCATTCATACTCGCCACTACGGTCTATGTGGTTCACAACTCCTGTAACTGCTTACTACGGTTTCTCTGACTAATCAATACTTCTGGAGCAGCCATCTACAACACTCACGATGAACTACTACATGCACAACAATCAACAATGGCTCTTGCAACCTGCTGTCACCAAGAACTATAGTCATATTATAGTTAAACAACTTTATAATTCCATATTCCATAAGTTATGGGAAGAATGAACCTGAACATGCTTACTCATCATTCATAGTGGATTATTTCAACTGGATTACACCCTATGGTTTTTCCTTCTTTCAAGGGTTTTTCACGTAAAAAATCGACGTGTCTCCTCCTGCTAACTTTTCTTTTGTTATCTGTGTGTGCTGAATTTTCGTGCAATGCTCAGACAATAATCTATTGCTCTACTATGGTGAATTTTCTGACACTCATCAGTGATAATTTTGATATGATATACAAAATTTGGATGAAAATGTAAAAAAAAAATTTAGATGTCAGATATGCAAATAAAAAGAAATTGAGTGGCATGTAAGTGAATGCCAGTAAAATATATTTCTGAGCTAGTCCATGGCACTGAAATATATTTCTGAGCTAGTCAACCGAGCAAACCCTACAGGGAAAGAATGCCAGAGTACTGCGTCACCGGAGGCGCTGGTTTTATAGCCTCCTACCTCGTGAAAGAGCTTCTTCTCAGAGGACACCATGTTCGAGCCACAGTTAGAGAACCAGGTCTCACTCTCTCTCTCTCTCTCTCTCTCTCTCTCCCCTTCTCTTTCTATCTCTCCCCTGTATTTTCGCCTTGTTAACTGTTTTGGCTTGCTGCCATGGGGAGATAAGCAGGAGATGAGGTTAAGGTTGGATTTTTATGGGGTTTTGATGGAGCGAAGGAGAGGTTAAGGTTGATGAAAGCTGATCTATTGGTGGAGGGGAGCTTTGATGAGGCTTTGGACGGTGTTGATGGAGTCTTCCACACCGCTTCTCCTGTTCTCACCAATGGAGATGCTCAGGTAGTCATTGAAATTGAAGTGTTTATATGAATCAGTATAGAATTATTGAGAAAGGGGCTTTTGGTTGTCATTTGTGCATTGTCATAATTCTTAGTTCTTACATACACACCACACAATTTATATATTTACACATCTAGAACCTACATAAATTTTCATATTTACATGCATAGCTCTCAAGTTTTTTTTAATACCGTATAAGAAGTGTCACTATTGTTAACTATTTATGAGTGAAATAAACGCAAATACACACACGAAAACTGAACCTTTGCATATTTTTACATGACTTCATTACACAAAACTCTTTCAAGCAAATATAGGCACTCAAACTTGCTATTAGAAAGCAAACTACATTTTGTTTTTGGGGCATTTATGTACATAACACTCAATTCCTGTGTATTAACATATCTAACACCTATACTTCACTTTGCTACATTTATACCATTCAAATATTTCATATCACATAACAAGTTCTGCCTTTTAACTCTTTCAATGTGAAATACACATTTTCATTCACAGATAAGGTGGGATATATGTAACGATTGATGTTTAGGTGTTAGATATGTAATTGCATAAGATGTAAATCTTTGTTTCATTGTATAACTAAAGATCGATGCAGGAGTCTCTCGTTGACCCGGCCATCAAAGGCACGGTGAATGTGCTCAAATCTTGTGTTAAATTTAGCTCGATCAAGCGTGTTGTGCTCACCTCATCCTGCTCCGCTATAAGATATCGTGATGATTCTACTTTAGTCTCTCCACTAAATGAATCCCATTGGAGTGATCCTGAGTACTGCAAGAGATATAACGTATGTATGTTGTTTCTTATTGGGGCATTTACACTCATGCATACCGCACAATTCTCATGTATATACATATCTAGCATCTAAATTTCATATTTACATTTATAGAATTTAAAACTAACATTACATTAATAATATCACAATTATTAACTTTTTAAAAGTGAAATCCACATTTTCATGCATTATGGGACTAATGTTACGACTGTAAATATCAAACTTTTGGTGTTATATGTGTAATTGCATGGAAATGTCTGGTTTGTATGAAAATTTTCCTTTCTTATGTAAAGTACTTGTTCTATTTATTTGAAATAAATTAGTTCGCTCTGGGTGGGAAAAGAAGACAACATAAAATTTTGATGGTTTGGATGTAAAAAAACCTTTGCTACATTTTCAAAAAGAAACTTTGGAAAAGCTATTTTTGAGGGAAAAGTAATAGAGGCTGTGATTTATGGTACTTTTTTAGAAGTAGGAGGAAATATTATGTGCAAATAATATACGTGCGGATTGGCGGCATTGTGCCACCACAATATCACCAAATCCACATCTATCATGCCCGCACGTAATATTTTTTTTCGTAAAAGTAGATGCAAGACTATTTTGATATCAGCAGATTGTTTTTAAGATGTAGAACTAAAGTACATAATATCTTCTCAATTTTTTCTAAAATTTATTTTATAAAAGATACTTTTGCAAAAAACATAATAGAACTCATGTCTAGGAAAGTGATTTTTACAAAGTTCAAATAACAAAAAATAGTTAATTATAAACTTCCTAGACCAAAGCTTCTTAGAATTTCTTATACCTTATATTATATCATTCTATGGCAGCTATGGTATGCATATGGTAAGACTCTAGCTGAAAAGGAAGCTTGGATACTTGCAGAGGAGCATGGCTTAGATCTTGTAGCAGTTAACCCATCCTTTGTAGTTGGTCCTTTGCTCTCTCCACATCCCACAAGCACTCTCCAATTTATATTGTCTATAATGAAAGGTTATGTTTCTTAACTAATTTATTTTCTTATGAACACATGTATAGAATATTTTTTTGCTTTGTTTTGATAGTTAGGGGTGTAAAAATTGACTCGACACGCCAACTCAACTCGAAGCTTTGGTTCGATTTAACCCGAATAGTTTTTGGATCGGGTTCATGCTACGAATCATAATCAGGTTAAATTTTCGGGTTGGCCCGACAATCAAAAATTAACCCAAAACTTATCTGCTAACAAACTAATCAAATATTGCTCGAAATTGATTTGAATTTGACTCAAATAGCTGTTATGCATTAATTTAAATGTGTCATACGGTCAGTGGGCTGATGGCAAGTCAAAATTGTGTTGATCTTTTTTATTTGTTTAATATTCAGGTTGAGTTATGTTCAAGCAGTTCTAAGTCAGCTTACTTTCTTGTCTGACCCAAATCATACCCGACTTTACACCCCTACTAAAAATTGTCTTTAATATTCAATGCAGGCGAGCGCGCAACATATCCAAATACAACAATAGGCTTTGTTCACATTGATGATGTTGTTTCTGCTCACATGCTTGCAATGGAGGATAGTACAGCTTCAGGAAGACTGGTCTGTTCAAGCAGTGTTGCACATTGGTCAGAGATTATAGAGATGTTGAGGGAGACGTATCACTCTTACTCAATTCCCAACAAGTAAGAATCTATGCAAATTGTATTAATTTTGTTCTGATGTTGTAGAACTTTCATGGCGAATTTGGTGTGGCGATAACAAACGTTTGTGTGATTTTTGCTCATCTTTGAACTCTATCGTCTCGTCATATATCTTTTTTTTTTTTTACCACTAATTTTACAAATAACTATACACTCATCCCAAACAAATTATTGGTTTTAGAATTGGGAAAACTATTACGTTCGACTGATCGCATGTCCATACAACAGTCTAGATGTTGTCACACCACCGTGTATCGCACGGCGGCCCATCCGAACCATTGTTTGGACGTTCGTTCGCCGCGCGTAATAATTTCTCGTAGGATTAGGATATGAAATGCAGAGTTTTTGGAGATTGTAATGGTTTTTACATTTTTTGTTATATGTCTGACAATGACATTCTTACAAAACAATTTTTAAAATTGCAAAAAAAAAAAAAAAGAATGACTCACTGAAACATACTAATTATTTGCTGAATTGAAAATGGAAAATTTTGAATGTAGGTGTGATGAGAAGGAAGGAGATAGCAATCCACACAGTATGAACTGTAGCAAATTGGAGGAATTGGGGCTCAAATCTTTTAAGACTGTAACCCAAATGTTTGATGATTGCATACTGAGCTTCCGAAACGGCGGGCTTCTTTGAGAAATAAAACCAACATTACTCCATCTCTCTCGTATTGATGACTTTGATAACAACCTCAACAGCTCAATAAACAGAAATTTGATATATATATATAGATATATATATATATATATATATATTATGTTCTAATGGTAAAATAACAATTATTCTGCATTTTTTTATGCTATCTAATTGCAAGCTACGATTTGGGAGTTCAGTATTAATCAAGTTCTGTTATTTATATTCTCATCATCATCATGCATGAGAAAAAGTTAAGGATGATTAGTTGGTATATGGAAGCTTCTTTAAGAATCTATTTATGTCTGTGTTCTTCATCACAATGATACATAGAATTTCTAATTTTTTTAGTAGAATGCCCTTAATAAGGTGGTTAGGAAATTCGAATCCTCAATTATCCACTATACGTGCAGGATTCTTGAGGATTCTTGATGCGGCACATACAGTTATATGGCTCTCACCAGACAATCCATTATACTATCTTGGGTTCAAGAGGTGGTTCTCATGTCATAGTATTTTGTTATATGTGACACTTAATTCTCGTCTTTCGGCTAATGTAATGCTCTGATGTCATTTGTGACAGTTTAAACTCCCACCCATCGATATATTGTCTGTTTTGACCTTACCTCAAGGTTTTGTCATGTCGGTGTTACTTCCCGGGAAGTCATCCTTCATAGAAGTGTTCTAGTACAAGCACGCTTAACTTTAGAGTTTCTAATCAAATTTCGTTGTTACACCAAAATGAACCTCAATATTTAAGAGTTTAATTACATTATCCCCCTACTCAAATCTTATTCAAACCATCAATCGTAGATAGTTTCAAATTCTTATGCATAGATAGTTTTAATTATAATTTAAATTAGGTTAAAAAAATACTTTGAAAAGACTCTTGTAGAATTCAAATAAAAGTCAAACAATGATCGGATAGGACTTGAATGCATCAAACTATAATATTATTCAATTACCACAAATGTGACATAGCATGTATAATTATAATCTAGCAATTAATCAATCATGGATATAAGATTGAAAAAATATTCGATACTGATAGAAATAGTACTCAATCATGGCCCAGAAATGTTCCATTTATGGGATGGGTAAAGTCAATTTTCCAATTATATTAAATTTTATATAAAAGTCATTATATTTAATAATTAAAATTTATCAAAAATAATGAAGAAATCCATACATAATGCAAGGGCTAAAATCCTCATCTGTCTCCCTTAAATCGTAGCGCTCTTGATTTCCTAAACTCTCGTCTATTTAATAGTCACAGCGGGAACTTGCTAGTGGCATCTAGCGGACTAATGCTTCTTTTTAAGGAGAGAATATTGCGTGCACCCGAGGTACGTGTGTAAGGTGATATTTGGGTCATATTGGGGTGGTATTGAACCTCAATACGGCCCCAAATAGTGCCGCCAATATCATGCCAACACCACAGATACACACCAAATTCGCATATATCTCATTTGCATGCAATATTTTTCTTTCTTTAAGGGAGTAGATAATTGTAAGCATCTTACCCTGATTATAGTTCATTAAGTCATTTAAATTAGGGTTTAATAAAGAGTAATAGTAAGGTATTTAAATACTCAAAATGGTTTGGCATGATTGCTGCTAATTTAGTTAAATTATGTTAAATTATTTGATACATTATGTGAAAATATAAATATGTTTGATGTATGTTAGACTTTTTGTAGTGGTGGAGTGTTTGATTATCGTCCCAATGTTGCATAATAATTCAACACATACTCGGGTGAAAGAAAAATAACTAGTTTTAACACGAGAAAATTTTATGTGAAAAACCCGTAAAAGGAAAAAAAATTACGGGGTCTGTCTTAGTTGAAAAGATTCACTATAAACTGAAAATAACAGGTAAAACCCAATATCTCGCATATGGAAAAAAAAATGTTATAAGGTCTCCCAAGTTCTAACATTGATGTGCGAATAAACTTGTTGCAAAGAACATATAGTGACTGATAACAATCGGTGGCGGCGGGCGGGTGATGGTTGAAGGTGTTAGGTGATGGTTGACTGTGGTTGGCGGTGGTCGACGGCGGGCGATAACAAGAATGATGTTGAACTGCAGGTCTTTCTCAAAGCTTCAAGATCTTCCTCAAGCTTCAAGCGTCGAGCTCTCATCCCTTTCCATTAGAGAGACGGAGCTCTATTTATAGAATTCTAAGTGCAATTAAAGTATGAATATGAACTGTTTTGATTTGACGGTCTGAATAGTTCCTGTTGGCATCAATTTTTGATGTCATGAATGTAGGGTGTCAACCTGTATGGCTCATAATAGTTTACGACCCGTCTGTAATATCTGATAGTTCACGATGACACAAGTCCTGATGAGTCAAAGTTCCTCACTTCCCTTGCTTTGGGTTCCCCAGCTTTATTTGGAGAAGTTGAGAGGTCGGACTTAGCAAAGCAAGAGAAGCTTTGTAGCTGACTCATTTTGTAAAGGTTGGAGGAGTTCGTAAAATAGGAAAAGTTTTGTAGGTAGTCCATTTCACGACGCCGTAAAGAGTTTCCCCCAGAGATTCAGGGAGAAACTCCCCACATTTCCTCACCAAAGCAAGAGACGGTGGTGCCACACATTTAAGAGTCTAAACCTTATGTCTCCCTGATGAGGTCGTTAGCACGAGCTCATTTTGCTACCTGCATGTTAGTTTGCTGCATATTGTATTTTTGCTTTGTGCATGTTGCATTTCACTTTGCTTCGACCGACTGCCCCGACTCGGTGAACATTTCACTTAGCTCCAACCGGCCGCCCCAGCCTAGTGAGCCTCTCACTTCGCTTCGATCGGCCACTCCGACCCGACGAGCATCTTACTTCGCTCCGACTGGCCACCCTGACCTGACGAGCATTTTACTTCGCTCCGATAGGCCACTCCGGCTCGATAAACATCTCACTTTGGTTCGACCAGACGCTCCAGCCTGGCCGACCAATCACTTTGGTTCGACTGGCCACCACGATCCGGTTGACCTATCACTTGCATGTTTTCTTGCTTTTGCATTATATTGCATGCTTGCATGTTTACATGTTGCATTTAATATGTGTTAACTTGCATGATCAATATCATTTGCTTGTGTTGCACTTTCTTTCGGGTCCCTGTCACCACGACACACTCATATCTGTCGGCCACTGCCGCCTCGACAAACCTTCCTCGGACCGCTGCCCAACGACACACCCACCAGGTCACTGTTGCTACAACACACCCATTTGTTTGAGCCGCTGACTCCACGACATGCCCATCTTTTCCTGAGTCACTGTCTCACGATACACTCATCACTTTTTTCACGTGACTATTTGCATTTGCATTTGCATGTTTGCATGGGTATCGAGCAAAGCTCGTTAGGAGAGTGACCCCGTGTTGGTCACGATGCCTTAATGAGTTGGTTGATCCCCGTGAGCAATGCGAGTTAAGTCATTGGGATTAACACGAGTATGTTTATGCTAAAAATCTAATAGATCTAACTTGTGTCATCGTTCTTCATGACACACTTTAGATCCCTCATATCGTTAGGATGGGGCCTGTATGACAACCTCATCAAAGTCATGCTATACCCAGACCCACCCCGCACTTAGATACCAGGTTGATGCACTTTCTCGGTAGATTGTGTGCTAGACTAGGATTTAAGGTGCTAGGTAGTCTTTTTGATGTATGACTATTGTTCTTTGCTGGACTGGTTGCCCTAGCCATACATATTTCTTTTGCATTGTACTCGTGATGTGACTGCTTGTTGCATATGTATGGTAGTGTGTTAGGGCGTTCTTCTGCAGGGAGTCATGCGTATTTATATGCACACACACATGTACCGCAATGAGGGGAGTAAGTAATGATTTCTGACCCTTTTGCTTGCAGGTGCTATTAGCTCCACCACTTTTAAGGCATAACTCATGATACATTATTTGCAAGTGAGTTTTTCCACTGACACTTGTTTTCATGCATGATTGTGTCTTTTTCTTTTCTCTATGTACTTTTAAAGTATAGGAAGTCTTGTAACAGAAATAAAATATGGGCACGAGTTTCGAGGCGTTTGGCGCGGGAACCACGTGGAGGGGACCGGGAGCAGATGCTCGTGCCCCATATCTTAATTCTGCATTTTATATTGATGTATACAATTAGGACCAGACATGTATATGCAGATTCCGACTGCCTTTTCTTTTATGGGATATGTAACTGACCCAACGGTACCGGTCTGTTTATTGTTTTATTTGGCTTGTTTTGCTTTTTCGTCGTATTGCATGCCTGCACATTTGTATGTGTTTTTCTTGTTTCTTTATATGATTTATCTGGGATTTCACGATGAAACATAGACTCATTAGGACTTAATATCTTAATTTTTCTACTTAAAAATCCTAAATAAAATATTCAAGATAATTAAAATTTAGGATTAAAATATTCAGGATTTAAAAATTGCAACATTTACTTTCCTGCAGATATTAATAGGGCCTCGACAATGCTTAAAGACCGCTCTAGATAAATGCATTCATATTTGCATGTCCCGAGGAGGAGCCCCCTGTGCTTCTTCAACCTGACTGACCCAACATACCTTTTTTTTATGTGGTTGTCTAGTGTGTCTAGGGTGTTAGAAGGCTCCCCGACCCAGACGGGGCGTAAGTCCTTTTGTTTGGAGTGTTTCCAGCTTTGACGTGTTGGAATATCTGCATCAATATGATTTAGGTTATTTCGTTGGCTCCGTATGCCGATGAGTCGCTATCCATTCGGAATGGCTTAGCGCAAGCTTTGAAGCATCAAGACTGTTCCCACACGGAATAACCTTCCTTTGAGTACCTATTGCCCCCACTTTCACGATAATCCAAGCGAAACTCCTTTTATGGAGAGTATTCTTGGGTACCCCCAAGGTGTAGTTAACCAAGTGGGATACGTCCCCTCGGGAGTGCTCTTGACCCCAGAACAAGCACCTACACCTAAATCTCTGGTTTATGAGTAGTCCACGTAAGTATTCTTTCGTGGATATCGGAGCACCTACACCTAAATCTCTGGTTTATGAGTAGTCTACGTAAGTATTCTTTCGTGGATATCGGTTTTGTTTGCTCTTAACCTATCCTTGCGAGGTTTACCGCACGTAGACTCTCCACGTTTTGTGTTTTCTCTTGTTTGTCGTTTTGTCGTATGTTCCTCCTTTTTGGTTCCATCTCTTGGTCATTCATATGACTTGGAAAAGAGATTTATTTGAAAAAGGGAAATAGACGACGATCGACGGACTGCCGACTTATTTTAAAATAAAAGAGAGAAAAACGAACGAAAACAATTCTCTTTGATCAAACAATGTTTGATAGATATTTGAGAGTCTTAATGATGTCATAATTGAGTGATAGTGGGCTAGTTGGATTTATCTTGTGAGGCGCTCGATTTGACTATAGGTTCACGGGATTAGACATTCATTTTACCTCTTAAATATTCTTTGAAGCTTCCAAAAGAGGTTAGGTGACTTACTCTGGGCTTTATTTGACTAAAATTGGACCTTTTTTCGTATCACTGGGTCAATCTTATTGAATTAATCACATTTACTATAGATTTGACATCCCATATTTTATTTCTCTTTGCCACTCACTTCGAACACCGCATTATACGGGGTCTTGCCTTTGGCATTATAGAGAAAAAAATTGGTATGTTAAAATAACCATACTTTGGAATATGTGAAATGTAATACATTAATAGGTAAGCATTAAGGATCATGCCGACAAAGATGATATCCTTATAATTCACGCCATCGAAAGAGTGACATAGCCACTCATGTAGCAAAAAGACTCGTGGAGTCTTGACTTCTCAATTAGGTCGTTAAATTGATCCACAAAAAATATCCATATGATTTGTGATTAGTTATAACTTGTAAATTCATGTATTTTTGGAGAAAATAATAAGGTCCCTAGGTACCCTATATTTATTATATGAAAAAATAGATTTGTAAGCAAAAATTAATATAAGGTTTAATAAATATATCACAACTTTTATTAAGATTAGGATTTTTTTTTAATCTGTGGATGTGAACTTTAAGAGAAGCTCCCTCATCCAAGTAATTTCAGTTCATTTGTTTGACAAACTAACCATAAAAGCCACTTCATCTACAATAAACTTTAGCTCATGGCCACGAAAAAAGAAAGCAAGCCTCTCAATATTCCAACACTCAAGAATGTGCACATTGAACGATACAACTTGTTGGATTGGTGAAACCTTAAAAAAATGATGAATACGTAGATTTTTCAATATAACGACAATATCCTCAAAGATGTTATATGAAAATTCATCACATACCTGTTGAGGGCCGACACCTGAAAGCAATTTCTATATTGGTCATTCTGCTGAGAGTTTTCAAATACATAGTTTAAAAAAAACAAAAAAAAATGATTAAGAATACAAAATAAACATATTAAGAATGAAGAATTTTGCACTTACCATTGAGTTTGCAATTCAAAACTATCAAAAGTGCAAACAGAAATAAAGAATGAAGTAAATAAGAGCAAAATTAGACGGAATAATAATCGGTCCAACTTTAAACGACATTGTAGTACCAAATAATTAGTACAACCGTGATATATCATTTGTATTGAGTTAAATCAGTACAATAAATATAATATGATTGTGCAAGAGATAAATCAACCAATCATAAATATGAGGAAAAATCAAAATCTAAAAGTTATTTTGTCTGTATACCAATATTTGTTATACAAAATTTTAACCATACTAAACATTGGGTGTTACTTAAGTACAACAATGTTGTATCGATTATACTGAGGTAAGTCATTATAACAAATATAACATGGTTGCACAAGGGACAAAATCAAACATTTTTATTTGGATTATTAACAAACTAAACATTAATGCATCCCTCTAATATAACCATGTTGTATCAGTTGTACTGAGGTAAATCAGTACAATCAATACAATATAGTTGTACAAGAGAAAAATTAGCTATTTTTATTTAGATTTTTAACCAACTAAACATTGCTTCAATTCAGTACAACCGTGTTATATTGGTTTTACTGAAGGTTGTATAAAGAAAAACACAAAATAATTTTACTTTAGGAGAATATATTTAAAAAAAAAAAATCTTTGGTTAGAAAAAAAAAAACTATTTAAAAAAATAACTATTGTTTCACATTTTCAAGCATATATACGAATTTACTTGACAATTACAAAATGATTGTATTTTATTACAATGTAAAAAAAAATAATCTTCAATTAAAAAAAAACAACAATTGCCTCACATTTACAATTATATTTACGGATTTACTTACAAAAATGATAACTATTGGATCCCACACATTGTTGTTTATTGTATTTTGATTTTTACGAGATTTTCAATCTCTTATTCGTCTTTGAGCTATGAGACAATCAGACATGTGGAGCACTATAATAAGAGAATATCGTCAAACAAAAATAAATGAAAACTAAACAGGAAAATAGACATAATGTCGAATCTTAACCTAGATATAAAGCTTAATGCAAATATCAGAATATGAAATGTTAAATGAACCCCAAGAGCCAAAAAAAAAAACCTCCATCTCTCTATCTATAATATTTGTTTTTTTCTAGACCGGTTGGGCTGAGATAGGGTCGCGCACTACGCACATTACTTTATCCCATTTTAGATATTAAAATATATTTTTTAGCATAAAATAATAATAATAAATAAATTAACACATGACATTTTCAAATTGACTTCTGCACGTAGCTCATCGCGTGTTATCCAAACGTAATAAAATTTCCTTGCTTCCATTCTCCATAAATTCATCTTCAATCGAAAATTTTACGAAGGGGCTGCATGACAATAATGAGATTTAAGTTAGTAGGATTTGGCTGCAAATAAGATTTAAATTCAGATTTAGATGGTGTTTGGCTGCAAATAGGATTTAACTTAAATATGATTTACTAAATCCGGTTTATATGAATCTAGTAAATCTAAATATTATTAAATTTGAAATAATATTTTGTTCAATCAAGATTAAATTCATTTAATGTGTTTGACATAATTCTATTTGAAATCATTTATTGTTCGACGTTAAATCTAACTAATATATAAATTTAGTAAATCCAGATTTAATAAATGAAGTAAGAAAATTTTGATTTAATTTAAGACAAATTTATTTAACATATTTATTTTGTTTTGCTGGATTTATGTTAAATCTAACTTAAACCCTCTTAAATCTAAAAAGGGTTAAATTCTACAAAATATTTAGCCACAGATTTAATATATATTATTGCTAAATATTGTGAAACTATTATGGTCATTAGACTTGAGCAACTCATAATAGGATTTCATAAATTATGTTAATTTGTAATTTTTTAAATTCAATTAATATTTTATTTCAAATTATGATAATTAATATTTATATATTTTCTAAACAGATTAATTAACAATACAAAATTTATTAAATTAATGTGGCCTAAAAAAAAATTATTAAATAGAAGTTTAATATTTATAAAAAAAATTTTAATATTTATATATTTTCTAAACAGATTAATTAACAATACAAAATTATAGAAGTCTAATATTTATAAAAAAATATTAATGAGTCATTAATTAAAATTTAATATTCTGATTAAATGATAAGTATAAGTTTATTTACATATAAGTAATCTGATAATAATTTATAATTAAAAAACACCTATTAATTAAATTAACTTAGATAAAATAAAATTAATAAAATCCTTTCCTAAATCATTCCGCTTTCTACGCCAAACCCTCGCAAGTCCTCCCGCCTCCGCCTCCGCCTCGCTGCCTCCCCACCCTGTGTTTCGTCCAACGCGATACAAACCTAAAAGACGGGATCGCGGCTTACAGTGACCCGAAGACCCGAAGCTCCCATTCTTCTCCTCCTTCCGCTCCTCTCCTAAATCCAAAACCATCGAGGAAGGTAACGGCGCGAATTTTATTTTATTTTATTTTTGAGTTTTTTTGGGCGAAGCTTACGTCCTGGATTTACTAAAGCAACTGATTCACGGGGTTTAGTAAATTCGGGATTTAAGGCCATAATACGTGAATCCGACACATTTTTTTGGTCCAAAATGACTGTCTGGCATGATTTAAGGTTAAATCCTGTTAAATCCTGCTCTAATTCCGTTACCAGACACGACTTAATTCCAGGATTTAAGGAAAAACAGAGGAAAAACGGGATTTAAGAACCTGCAGGATTTGGGATTTTTAGATTAATTCCTGCTACCAAACAGATCCAAGATATTGCTCAAATTCTGCCACCTCCATCCTCTTCTTCCAGTTAATTGTCCAGGCCTTGGCCAGCCATTCATCCCGGGCAACCACCATCGCCATAGACACTCGCCGCTTCTTTTCATCGGTTCTACCACGCTTTATCCTTCTTAGGTCACAATGAAGCTTGACGTGGATGCTTTGAGATATCTCTCTAAAGAAGATTTTAGAGTTTTAACCGCAGTCGAGATGGGGATGAGAAATGTAAGTTCGATTTATACATTTCCAATCGTTAGCTCTACCCTTCATTTATTCTCTCACCTTTTTTTTCCCCAACTTTTTAATTTGGTTACAGCATGAAATTGTTCCAGCAGAGCTTGTCGAGCGGATCGCTCGCCTCAAGTAAAAAATTCCTATTAATTCAATTCATTTGAAGCTTCAGAGAACTTAATTGAGATTTTTTAACCAAAACCTGTAACTACAGGCATGGGGGAACCTACAAGGTGTTGAGGAATCTCTTAAAGCACAAGCTTCTACATCATGACTCCTCCAAATGTAAGATTTTTCGTGTTTTTTATGGAAAGCATTTATTTGAATATTGAATTTCATTTAGCATTGCTAAAGATTTAATATTTGGCATTAATTTTTTTTTTTTGCGCAGATGATGGGTATCGGCTGACTTACCTTGGATATGACTTCCTTGCAATCAAGGTTCTTGTCAACCGTGGCGTATTTTCTTCAGTTGGAAGGCAAATTGGTGTTGGCAAGGAGTCCGGTATTAGTTCTTATGTGATTTATTCATTTTCTTTTGCTGTTGCAGGCATACCACTCAATTTATATCGATTTTCATATCTAATGCCTAAACTTACTTTTTACATTTATGCCACCCAAATCTTTCATATCACATCAAAAATACCATATTTATAACTTTTAAAAATTAAAATGCACCTTTTCACGCATGGATAAGGTGGCATGTATGTAATAATTGAACTTTAGGTGTTAGATATGTAAATACATAGGAATTGAGTGGTATGTATGTATGTCTTCCTTTGTTTTTTTGAATTTTGTATTTTTTTTGGAAGATTTATATACATACCACTCAATTCATATGTATTGACATATCTAATACCAAAATTTCAAATGAAAGGTGTGTTTCAGGTTTTAAAAGTAAAAAAAAGTGGCATTTTTTATGTGATCTACTAATCTTAAAAATTTAGGTGGTATAAATGTAAAAAAGTATAGTTTTGGTGTTCGATGTGTAAATACATAGGAATTTGGTGTTAGTGTGGTAGGTATGTAAATGCTCCTTTTTTTTCTGTTTGATAATGTGGTGATTGTAACACTCTGTTTTGATTTATTATGAAAGATATATTTGAGGTCGCCACTGAAGATGGAACTATTCTGGCTATGAAGCTGCATAGGTTGGGGAGGATTTCTTTCAGGGCTGTGAAATCTAAGCGTGACTATTTGCAGCACAGAAGGAGCTATAACTGGCTATACTTGTCAAGGCTTGCTGCTCTCAAAGAATTCGCCTTCATGAAGGTTCTGTTGCAAATTATTTTCCTCTTTTTTAAGATTAGGGCACTAGGGTTATTTGTCTTCTTTAAGCTGATTTTCTTATATAAGTTTTCCGCCGCAGGCTTTGGGAGAGCATGGGTTTCCAGTTCCTCAAGCTGTGGACTGCAATCGGCATTGTGTTGTCATGTCTCTTGTCCAAGGTTACCCACTGTAGGTTATGATTTTTTTTTTAAAAAGATTTACGTACATACCACTCGATTCTTGTGTATTTACATATCTAAGGCTTATACTTCAATTTTTACACACACACACACACTATATATATATATATATATATATATAGATGTGATATGAAGAGGTGTTTCACTTTTTAAAAGTTAAAGCACCGTGATATTTTTTATGTGATATGAAAGATTTAGCTGACATAAATGTAAAAAACAAACTTTACTTGTTAGACATGTAAATACATAGGAGCTAGGTGGTATGTATGTAAATGCCCTATTTTTTTTAGAATTAAAGATGCTTAATATTTTCTACGAGACGAGATATTTATTACTGACATTTATGCATTCTCCAAAATTGTTTGGCATTTTGTTTAAAGTTTTTTTTTTTCCTTCTAACTTCTGGGCACAGAGTGCAAGTGAAGCAGCTGCAGAATCCGGACGAGGTTTTTGAGACAATTATTGGTTTGATTGTTCGTTTGGCAGAGCACGGGCTTATTCATTGTGATTTCAATGAATTTAATATCATGGTACCTATGCTGATTTTTAGTTGTTAAATTATGCTTTTAAAACTTACATTGTATTATGGTTTTATGCATCTTACTTTTCTTCTTTACTTATATTTTCAATTTCAATTTTGATTTTGCTGCTATTATGTTTTCTATTGCCAAATTATCCACAATGCTCGTTATCCTAAAAATCCAAATAATTTTTCTCCTCCTTGCTGTTCACCATGGTCTCAATTTGGAGGCTTTCTATCGAACTATCAAACAATAAGTGTATTTTAAGATTTGTTTTATGCTTCAGATGACTTTCTCACTTGAATTTTCTTGTTAAAATAGCTGGAAAACATTCTATTTTGGGCCCATCGTCAGATTTTGAAAACTTAGTGCTGTCAAACAACATAGTGGCTTAGAAAGAAAATTCTAGACGTCAAGAGATCAATTATTAGTGCTGTGGTAGCCGCACACTCTAGTTGTTTTTTACTGTATTGTGTTAAGATTATCCGAATGAAATTCAAGTTTAGATATAACTTATCCAAACAAATAATTAAATTATTTAAATTCATTATTGCTTTATTGCTATATGAAATTCAATCTATCATTTGATTTATGATTAGTGATACAAGCATACTTGTGAACTTAGGGTGTATTTTTTATTTGATATGAAAGATTTGGGCGGTGTAAATGTAAAAAACAAAGTTTAGGTGTTGCCTCTTGTTTATTAACCTTGAAATAAGAGGTGGAGGAATTGGCTCATGACTAGTTGGGAAGGTAAAAAGGGACCTTTGTATAAATTTATGTAGTTTAGTAGTGTTTTGACCAGTTACGAAATATTCCACATAGGAAGAAAACTAATAAATAAGAAATCTATATCGAACATAGTTTATACCAGTTTTTCAATTAAAGTTGAGAAATGCTCTAATCCTTTAGTCATATAGGTGCATTGTAGAAAGCAACCATTAAATACCTGGAACTAACCGACTAAGTTATAAATTTCTTCATTTGAATGCAATATTATTTATAATTTAATTGAAATTCATCTATAAGCATTTAAGTTTCCCTCAGTCAGAAAACCATAGATGCACTTTAACAGCCAATTCTATGATAAAATCATGATATTTTCATGGCTAATAAAATAAATCCTACAAGGTTTTCAACTGATAAACTATGGAAACTTTCACTTTTAGGTGAAGTTGAGGATAATTTAGAATATGTATTTATGAGATTCTCTAAAATCTTTTTATAGAAGTCAGAATAATGTAAAGACAGAAAATTTGAATTAAAAAATTTAAATAATGTTTTGTGGGCTGGGCTACCGTGAAAGGAAGCCATTGTAAAGAATCCAGAAGCTTGCAATTGTTCCACAAGTATTAGGGATTTAGTTACAAGAAGTGAATCCAAAAGTCTAGAGCCAATACTGAAATTTATCTTATACTAATTTGGAAGTAGTTTATATACTGATGTAACTGCCTCAGAAACTATGCTTAAATTCATAGATGTATTTAGGTTCACTTTGGCTCAGACTCATAACTGGATTTTGATTAAAATTTAAATATAGTGTAAGTATAGACCTTTGCTTATTTTCAAATATTATTTTATCCTTATGTTCATAGTAGGTAAAATTTGTTATATTCTAGATCTATATTCCATTGGCAAAATGCGTCATCTTCTTTTCCTCACTCTAAAAGAAACTGTTGAAAACGAACAGTTATTTTTTTTTCTTAGGAATGACAACCAACTGATTCTAGATATTGATATAATTTTCTCCATTTTTTTTACACTCTCTTTACTTGATTATACGAGAAGAGTATGCTCATTAGAATGCTTCTCTTAATTTTTTACATTTTTAACATTTTTCTTACAAATTTCTGCAATATCATATGTTGTCTCTTAATTTTTTTTTGGTGCAAATTATAATGATGGCTCAATCTTATTGAGCCTCTCGTGTGCAATACTTGTGTATATTCTCAGCATCTTCCTTTTTATATTTTATGCAGTGTACATATCCATCTAATTGCTTAGAGTTTATTTTCTTTACGTTGGATATAGGGATGCGCAAGAAGATAAAAGAGCTATAGTTATTTATAATGCCGTTTAACGTTTTACATCAATTATAATCTTAATCTTTATTATGTAGATTGATGATGAAGGGAAGGTCACCATGATTGATTTCCCTCAGATGGTATCGGTTTCCCATCGCAATGCACAAATGTAACTTGAATTTTCTTTACTGCTTTGTTAAAGTTTCTTTATGAATATTGTTTCTGTTATCACCTTTAAAGCCAATTTTCAGCATGGGATGTTTCTTTTTGTCTTTATAGCAAAAAACTGAGGGAGTCTGTCTTTCAGGTACTTTGACCGGGATGCTGACTGCATTTTCAAGTTTTTCAATAAAAGGTTTGTAGTTATGCTGATTTTATTTAGTTTTGTAATGTATGTGGTTTCTTGTTGATCATGTATACTCTGTTGTAACAATTTACATATTTTCCATTTTCACTGTTATTTTTGAAGAGATTAGCTTGAAGCATGGTTACTCATTGGGAATGAGATTGCCAATTACCTATTTGCCATAGTTTTTATGCCCTTCTTTATATTTTATCTCTGTCAATTGTTTTCCTAATATAAAATATCTAGCATGAAATTTTGTTTTCGCCTTTAACATCCAATAATTTTTTTATCATATGTAATGTTTTTATCTTATTTTTGGTTTGTTTTTTGAGTAATGAACGTAAAATCATTGTGTTGATTAACTTTCATTATGTCATCAATGGTGATGATATTTTTTTTTGTAATGTTAGATTTAACTTTGCAAAACTTGCTCTATGGTGCAAAATGCTAGCCTTTAAAAGAGATGCATACTAAGTTGAGTGTTGTCGAGATGAGAATGATTAGGTGGATGAGTGGCTTGACTCTTAGAGACAATGCGAAATGAATATAACCGTGATAGGGTTTGCATAGCTCCAATGGCAAACAAGATTAGTGAGAGTCGTCTTAGATGGTTTGGCCATATTAAACGTCGACCATCTGATGATCCGGTTAGGAGAGTGGATGTTTTAGCTTCGACTGATGTTAAGAAAGACAAAGTTAGACCTAAAAAGATTTGGGCATATTATATAAAAAATGATCTTAATATATTAGAATTAAATAAAAATACAACACTCAATAGGACACAATGGAGAAAAAGGTTTCATGTAGTCGACCCCACTTAGTGGGATAAAGACTTGTTGTTGTTATTGTTGTAGATTGAACTTTTCACTTGACAATTATTATGCATTTTAATCTATTTTTCAATTATGACAAAACTTATATTGGCTTACTTAAATTCTTAATATTATTTAAAAAATTAAAAGACGCATGAGGAGTGGAGGAAGAGTATTTTGGTCCCCATTTTTAAGAATAAAGGGGATGTACAAGAGTGTGCCAATTATATAGGAATTAAGTTGATGTGTCATACTTTAAAATTATGTGAGAGAGATAATTGAATATAGGTTAAGTGGTGATATAAAGATTTCTCATAATCAGTTTGGATTTATGCTGGGAGGTCTACTATAGAAGCTATACATTTATTGAGAGATTTGATAGAGAAGTACAGAAAGAATAAGGAGGATCTGCATATGATTTTTTTTTATTTAATAAAAGCTTATGATAAGATTCCAAGAGAAGTCATTTGAAGAGTTCTAGAGAAGAAAGGTGTTGATATGTCTTATATTCAAGCTATTAAAGATATGTATACTAAAATTGTTACTTGTGTTCTAACGGAAGGAGGATTGACCCAGTATTTTCTTATTTCAGTTGGATTACATTAGGGATTGACTTTAAGCCCATATCTTTTTGCTTTAGTCATGGATGCTCTTACTGGACATTTATAGAAGGATATACCTTGGTGTATGCTTTTCGCTGATGATATCCCTCTTGTGGATAAGATTAGAGAAGGAGTTTAGGAAAAACTTGAGTTATGAAGCTCTACATTGGATTCTAAAGACCTTCGTTTGAGTAGAACTAAGACTGAATAACATGGAATGCATTTCTAGTAGTATTAGCTCTAGTGATAAAGTTGTAACTATGGGTGGTCAAATCCTTAAAAGGTGTAAACGTTTTAGATATCTCAGGCTTAGTGTTCAGAGTGATGGTGATATTAATGGAGATGTTATTATTAGAATTCAAGTTGGTTGGTTGAAGTGGAGGAATGCTTCGAGTCTATTGTGTGATAGAAAAATATTGCTTAAACTGAAAGGAAAATTTAATAAAATGGTGGCGAGACCTGCAATACTCTGTGGCGCAAAATGTTGGCCTTTACAAGTGAAGCACAAAGTGTTACTGAGATGAGAATATGCTTAGTTGGATGAGCGGCTTGACACTTAGAGACAAAATGCAAAATGAATATATCCGTGATAGGGTTCGTGACATTAAACATCGACCATTTGAGGATATGGATGATCCGATTAGGAGAGTAGATGTTTTAGCTTCGACTGATGTTAAGAAAGGCCGAGGTAGATCTAAAGTGTCTTGGGCATATTATATAAAAAATGATCTTAATCTATTAGAATTAAATGAAAATATGATACTCAATAGGACGCAATGGAGAAAAAGGATTCATTTAGCCAACCCCTCTTAGTGGGATAAAGACTTGTTGTTGCCGTATTACAAAACTTATATATTTTAGTTTTGATGGAATTCAGTTTTTATTATGAGTTCATTCTCTTTTTTTTATTGGAGAACATGTGAATTCCTGTCAATGTGTTCACTCATAATTCAAATTTTGCTTTTCAAGGTTTCAACTCTCATTTCATGATAATAAAGATGGTTGTGATGATTCGGGTTCTGATGATGGGGAGGATGGTAGGCTATCATTTTGGTCCATAGAGAAGTCTGCAGGTTTCTTGGATAAGGAACTCGCAGCCAGTGGGTTCACAAGAAAGGATCAAGATGAAATGGAGAAGGTACACATGCAATTATGATGTGTTATAGGATTGTTTAGATTAATTTCATTTTATTATTCCCAATGATTTTGCTGTTCGATTGTACCTTCTTGTGAAGATAGATGGAGCTTATAATATCAGTTGCTTTTTAAACATGCAATTTCATATGTACTTTCAGTCTCATTTCTTTCTAACTACTGGGCACTATGGGTTTAATTCAGCTACTTATTTCATTGAATAAAGGAAGATTTACATATATTCATACATCTAACACCTAAACTTCAACTTTTACATGCATGCCACCTTACCTATGCATAAAAAGGTGAATTAACTTTTTAAAAGTTAAAATAGTAATACTTGATATGAAAGATTTGGGCAGTATAAATGTAAAGAGTAAAGTTGTGGTGATAGATAATTAAATATATAGGAATTGGGTGGTATGTATGTAAATTCCTTAATAATAAAAAAAATGTGTTAACCTCTTCTTTTATTTCATTTATTTTCTGGACGGACTATATAAGATACCCCTGATTCTGTCTAGAGGTGTGATTTTGGAAGTCTCAGTAAGTCTAGCCTTGCTGTGCTCTGGGCGTGCTTATGGAGCATGATTGTGATGAGGGTGCTTTGAACTTGATTCTAAACCATTATAACTTTGAAATTTAGTTGCTTTTAGATAGAAAATATGCTTTGACAAGTTCTTGCTTTTATTTTTACTCATTTTATAAGCGAAAAGAAAATGAGCACTTTTAAGGAATTCTGAATGTGCTTTTTACTTTTCTATAACGATTTCTTATTACCTCCAACCAAAAATGAAAGAATATGCTAAATTTAATTTATTAAAAATATGCCATTGTGCATTAAAAAAATATGCTTGCTTTTGCAAAGATAATGAATGTGCAACAATCTAGTAAATGTGAAATTTTTAATAAGCTCGTAAACATTCAGCTGGAAGAAAACTTTTATTATAATCAAGTATTTTTATGTTATATTTTTCATAGCAAACATTAGAATTAAAAGATACATGATTCAATATTAGATCATCAAATATAAATTAACCTCAAGCTTTTCTTCATGCAAAGAACTAAAAATAGGTTCAGTTCAAGCAAAAAATAAAGTCTATTTGTAAGAGCACCAAGTTTGTTTCTTGGAATATTCTACAATTTTTTGATGTTTCATAGGAATTTTTTATATATTTTATAATTATATGTATAATTTTCCCACTTTTGATTATGAAATTATGGACTTTATTTTTAATTTCTTTGACTACAAGATTTTATGTTGTTTTGAATTTTTTATTTTTATTGTTTCAAAGACGCTATCGCCCCTCAAAATAGGTTGTTATTCAATTTTAGTATACATGACACTAAATCATTTGCTTGGGTGAATTAACATTAGAAGACATGAATTTCATCTTAACATGCATTCAAATTTTCCTTAAAATTGTGAATTATGAAAATTTGTTCTTTTGAACTTATCTCCCATATTTTGGCAACAAAATTCAAGGGAGGCTGTAAGTGTAGCTGAAGTTCTCATTTCCCTGTTTGAAGGAGTTGAAGCTCAAATAGTTCATGTTTTTTAGTCTCTTTCTTTATTTATCTTAGGATTCTGTGTAGTTTGTTTTGATTTTTTTTTCATCTCTCATGCTTCATATTTCAATAATTAGTTGCGAGTGCAATTTGCATTTGTTAAGGTCAACATTTTTTGGCAAATAACAGTATTTTAATTTTTCTTTCCACCCTGATTTCACACCTCTACTCTTACTTTAGGGCCGTTTGACATCATTTATGCTTTTCGTTTTTTTACTATGATTTTTATTTGTATTTTTTTTTTGAAAACATATTTGGTTAATATAATTTTATATATTTTTATATTTTGTTTTTAAAAATAAATCACCTTGTTTTGAATGTTTTTAAAAACAAGTAGCACAAACAAACATATTTTAATTCAAATCAAAACAAAAACAAAAAAAAAAGAAAATAATAAATGAATAAAATTGAAAACAAAAAACAAAAGTGAACCTGAACGGGACTTCAATGTTTGTCTTTTTTGTTTTCTCCCCTATTTGGTTGTTACCATCATCTTTGTTTAGCTTTATCTGAACTAGTGAATGACATTAAGACTATTATTGCATTCCTATTTTGTTTTTGCTGAATTGTTCTCTCTATTTTTGCAAAAGAAAAAATCATAATATCTAGCCATGTTACAGTAACAAATTTTTTGTAGAAGCAACAAATGTCATGTTCATTTTTAAGTTAATTGCGTGGTTCCAGTTTATTGAAGGAGGAGGTGATGAGGGTGAGACAGTGAGCTCTGATGATGAAGATTGTGCCTATGAAAACCAGCTGGGGAATGATGGCGCTGATGCTGTTATTAGTACCTTACCCTGCTTGAATCTGGTAGAGAAGGTATTTCCAAGCTTCTGATGATTTTGATTTCATTGGGTCTAGCTTATAAGTTTTATTTAGAATCCTCAAACTTTAGTATTTTTCTCGAGTAGCATAAAAAATTAATTGTGATGAGTGATTTAATTTAGGACTGCAAATTAATCGAGCCATATCAGGCTGGGCTATGTTTAAGCCTGAACTTATTTATGAAATAGAGTTTGAATTTAAGCTCCAGCTGAAATCAAACTTGTGTTTTTGTTCAAGCTTGGTTTGTTTGTCATTATTACTGTTTGAGCTCGATTCATATTGGTTTTTGACACGGGAGCTAAGCCTTCCTGTGAAAGAGAATTTTCGTGGTCTCGTGAGATGCGGAAGCCTGGCTTCACAAAATGCGGAATCCCACAGTTTTTGCCGGATCGGATGGAGCTGCGATCGCGGCAGAGGGACAAGTGCCTAATTTTCCCCTATTTTGTAATTATTTTAGATCGTCATTTTTATTTTGCTTTAAAAAGCTGCTTTATAAAACAGCTTTTAAACAATTCTTTTAAAAACAAAAGCTGAACCAAACGAAGCCTTAGGCTGGATTAGCATTTTTTCTTTGGAATATTGCTTAATTTTTTATTGTTTATGCTGATATCTTCAGAATATGCATCAGGAGGTCTCATTAAATCATAAAAAAGTGGATAATACAGATGAGCATCCTCATACGTCAGTTACCGAAGACCTTAAAATTGCAGAAATTGTTAATGGTGTTGATGTAAGTTATGTTCATTAATTTATTTCTGCCCATCTCCGTAGGGTCAGCCATTATTTATGCTGTCCTTTTGTGCAGCTCTGTGCTAATTTGAGAGATAATGAAAATGACATAGTGGATGGTTCTGCTCTCATTAAAAATGGGACTTTGAGGGAAGAGGTGATCTACGTCTCCATTGTTTTTTATCTCCCTTTGTTCCATATTACAAATTTTTTTTATTGTTGCTGGGGATATTTTAGTTTTATTTTTTTTTATTGCTGTTAGGTGGGGGTTGGGGGCATCGGCAGTTGAAACATCGCTATTTTCAAAATTAGCACCCCATTGCATCTGCTTTTTTTAATTCTTTCCAAATATCAAAATCAGAGTGATGCCTCGAGCAATTTTTTTTATTTTCATCAAATTCCCAATGATATACGCGTGCGATACACAAATACATGATTTCGATAGTTAAAAAAGAGGCATTTACATACATATCACAAAATTCTTATGTATTTTTATATCTAACACCTAATTGTTGATTTTTTTATTATTGCAGGCCATTCATATCTCATAAACAAATCATTATTAGTAATTTTTCAAAATTGCAATATACTTTGTAAAGTACATGCAAAGGGTTATAAATGTAAAAGTCAAAGTGATTAGGAGAGTTAACCCAAACCACAATAAAAAAAACAAATATTATTGCTGAAGCTCGAAAAGGTTACAATGAAGACTCGTGGAAATAAACGATAAACAAACACAGCAGCACCCTATGGCTAGGGAGAAGACAGGACAGCTGGTGGGCAGCGGTGAGAGGGCCCGGGCGAGGTGGCGGTTGACTGGAAGAGGTAGGCAGGTTTGCGGGTGGGGATAGCAAGGGAAAGGTGTTGTGGTGGCAGCAGGGAGCAGATATGAGGGGGAGGTTTTGGGTATAGCTTGTAAGGGTATAGAGTAGAGGTGACTGGGCAGAGAGGGAGAGAGCAATGGGTTACGACACGGGTAGGGGAAATTACATCAGGGCAGAAACGGGAAGCGCTGGAGCGGGGTAGCTGGGTCTGCAGGAAAACCGTTTAGTTGCAGTTTCTGGGGGTCTGCAGCAGGGTAAGACGACGGCGGCAGGGAAGGCTAGGTTGTGGGCGAGACTTATTTTATAAATACATAAATTTTGAGTGCAATCTATGTAATTGTCCCCCTTCTTGTTCATAAGAGTTGCTCTGTCCATAATCTTAGAAGGAACCTATTCTAACTTGCGGGTTTTTGTCCATCTCCTTTTTTATTAATATGGAATGCTGGCTTTCTAGTTCAACTGATTCTTCCTCTTCTCTTCGGTACCTTCACTTAATAAATTTATTTCTTGTTTTGTACTGCATTGCTGCTTATGAACAAAATTTTGAGTTATGCTGTTACTGCATGGAGTTAAAATTTCGTTAACCATGACACTAATATTTTTTTTTGTTACTTTAATGGAGCATTTACATGCGTACCAGATAATGCTAATGTGTTCGCCTATCTAACACAAATATTCTTATTTACATGCACACAACTCAAATCTTTAATATCACATCAAAAATATCACCATCACTATCTTTTTAGAAGTCAAATACACATTTTCATGCATAAGTTTATGACACCAAGGTATTATTAGAGCAAATATCAAACTATAAGTATTAGATATGTAAATAGATAAGAATTGTGTGACTTGTATGTAAATTTCCCTACTAGAGTTAAATAAAAACATGAAGGCTTATTTGGTTGCGACTTAAAACTTCATTTTTGAGGAGGCACCTCTTGGTATTCTCCCCTCTTTTTCTTTCTCATCCTGCCTAAAAAGGGATTATTATTTGTCTTCATGAACATTTGAAAAGGGCCACCTCGCTTCTAGGATTGAATGTAGAAACTTTTTTTTTAAAGTGGGGCATCATAATACAATTAAGCTTTATGAGCTCAAACATCATTATATGATTGGGGCATTTACATGCATACCACAGATTTCTTATTTATTACATATCTCTGACTCCTAAACTTTAATATTTATGTTCATAACATTTTAATCTTTAATATCACATCTAAAATACCACTTTTCCTAGTGTTTTAAATGTCAAACGCACATTTTTATGGATGGGTTTATAACAACAAGGTGTTATAAAATGTAAATTTCAAAATTTAGGTGTTAGATGTGTCAATTTATAAGAATTGTGTTCTATGCATGTAAATTTCCCTATAAGATTATATGTTTGCATTACGTCCCTCTACATTTTGGCTTTTTCCTATTTTTATATTTTGCAAATTTTTTGATCCCTAGTCAAAATAAAGAGGAATTGAGGGATAGATTGTCACCCAGTAACTGATGGATCATTTACCTGTCATGTTAAAGTTTTTTTATTCTCAAGGGGTGTTCTGAATCACTCTTGTTTTCTTTATTTTTTATTTTTTATTTTTATTTTATATTTTGTGTTCTTTTAGTTTTGCTTATGTTTTTAATTTGAAACAAAACATGTTTGTCATGTTTATTATTAAAAACGCTCAAAATAATTTTTAACTGTTTTAAGTATTTTTAATAACAAGCTGACACTGGGCTTGGCCTGTTGAACCGGTTGGCGGGTCAGCACAGCGTTCAGCAAGCGGATCAGTCCAGCCTCCTGTTGGACCGCTTGATGCCCATGGAGCGGGAGGATTGACTCCCACGATTCCTTATCGGTTTGCCGCCAACTTTCCCCTCCTTTTCCTTGTTTGATTGACTCCCTCCCTTTTCTGTTCTGATTGCTGCCCCTACCTTCTCCTTTTCTGATAGCCGCCCATAAGGGAGAGACCTCCCCTTCCTATTTTTTTCTATTAGCCTTCATATACATGTTTGGGTGCTGAATTAGGGTGATGTTTTTGGTGTGAGTTATCTCAGATTTCTGCAGAAGTTTCTGTTTTTCTTGTGAGGGTTGTATCCGAGGATGGGTTGTGCTTCGGCTATATCCTGCTACAAGGTGCCCCAGCCTCCAACCGCTTTTGCCAGCCAACCTGTGCCTTTCTCTGGCTGTGCCGCTGGTTTTCCTGCACTCCCCCCCTGCTGTGCAGCCCTCCAGCCTGCCCTTCCCCCAACTTCCTTAACCGCTACCGTAAGCTCTTCTTGCTCTCATAGTTCACTACCCTCCACTTCTACAAGTCTCTCGCCGGCACCACTTCACCTCGGATTTCTTATCCGGAGATTAATGTCTTGCAATTTAATTTCAGTTGAGTTTTGTTTGTAAACCGAACCAATTGATCAATGAAGTTTGCTTCGGTTTCTGCTGATTTCGGTCCTAAATCCGGTATCACAAGCTGATTTGTTTTGAAAAGCACAAATGAAAAACACATCAAAACATACCAAACAAACATATTTTTTTAAAATCTAAGGTAAAGACAAAAATTAAATTGATTCCAAATAGACCCTTTAGAAACTATTTTTTTCTTCCTTTTTAACCTAAAAAAAATTCATTGCTTTTGTTTTAGGAGATTGATGGATCTGATGATTCCGAAGATAGTGCTCCTGCACTTATAAAGGGTTTAAACCGGCAAAGGCGACGGGCTGTGGCGGCTGCTCGGGGTGGTCGGAAAGCTGTAATTTCAAGGAATTCTTACAAAGACAAGGGTGGCAGCAAGTCATCCCACAACTCTAAACTTCAAAGGCAGGCCTGCAAATTATATAGCTAATTTAACGCCCTTTTTATACTTTTATTTTATGTTTTTGTCCCTCAGGAGTTTTCATATATAAACACATAGAAATTGTGTACTGTTCATATTAATTTTCGATTAAATTTACTAATGTATTGTAAATTTTAATTAGTTTTTTTTTCTTTTTATAATAAACTTAAAATAAATCTAATGATCAGGAGATTTGTTATAGCTATAATTTAATTATGCTAGTTTTATACTCACTAAACTTGATGCAGAAGATATGTTTATACATAAATAAACATTTGGAGCGCCAAATCGGGTTCAGGTCTAGCTCGAAATTGGCCCGACCAGCAGCTTTACTCGAATCCGCCTTGAATATTGAAGGAGTTAGAAAGTCCAATCAGAACACGATCGCCGTCAACCTGAAACCGACCTTTAATAGCTATTCAGATAAAAATCAAGTCAATTTTGAGTCCATCTTCGCTCTAATCCTGGACGGCGGGTCAATTTCAGATCAATTTATAGTTGAAAGGATAGTTTTAGGTTGAGGGCCAATCTCATTTTTATCCAAAAATATTTAACGGGCTAAAATATTTAACACGAATATATTTCAAAATTTATTTGTGTTCGGGTTCGGGTCGAGTTGATGCATGGAGTCAATTTTTTACACTCCTAATAAACACCTTTAAATTTAAATATATATATATATATATATATAAACCAATAAAATGCAGGAAAATTTTACTTTACTGTAAAAAAAAAATGTATATATATATAGTACCCCTACATGAAGATGTGTGCTCCACTTAAAAAAAATAAAAATAAATTAAGTGGTATGAATGTAAAAATAAATTGAGGTGTTAGGGATGTAAATAAATAAGATTTGAGTGGTATGTATATGTAAATGCCCCGACTTCTTTTTAAAATAATATATAATGATCCAAAAATGGAATTCAAATTCGGCAAGCTTCCGAGTTATCTAGACCCCCCAGTTCCGTCGAAGAAGACGACACAGAGTCCCCATTCCAGAGAGAGAGAGAGAGCGAGGGAGAGAGAGGAGATGAGAATTGCTGATGTCCTCCGTGAACGCGACGACGAAGACGACGGTGGTATATCCGGCGACAATCTTTTCTCATGTTTCACGAGCAAGAGCCACCATGCTTCGCCGACCAACGCCGCTTGCTCTTCTTCTCGGTTTCTGCTGTCCAGATGGTTTCGCAATCGTCGGAAGCGTGTACCAGCCATTTCAGACGGAGAAAGTGGGGTTCCTCGGCCGGCGGCTGGCGGGATTGTATCCGGAAGAGTGGATTCCGGTAGTAAGAGATTCACGGAGATGGATTTATCTTCAGGTATTTGCGATTTTCCATTTCGTTGTTCTTTTTCTTCCTCGTGTTTCCAGCTTTCTGCCATTCTATCAGTTTTTTTTTTTTTTTTGTAATTTGCTAATTCAATTTTGGAACCCTATATTCCTGATTTGCTTTCTCAACGTGTTCTTTGTTTTAATGTTTGCTGTATTTTCTTTTTGCATCGGTCATCGGAGGAGTTCTAATGCTGCCAAACATATAGTCCTGTTTGATCCTATTTCTCCATCCGAAATCTCCTTTGAACAGCACAACTTTTTTCATTTTTTACGAACAGTGATTGCATCGGTCATCGGAGGAGTTCTAATGCTGCTAAATTTATATTCCTGTTCGATCCCATTTCTCCATCCGAAATCTCCTTTGAACAGCACAACTTTGTTCATTTTTAACGAACAGTGATTTCAGCGGTTTAAGTTGAATAGGTTACTGAATTAAGAAAAAAATTAGGTGGGGGGAACTACTGACTAAAATTTTGGTATAAATGATTGTAACAGTTTAAATTGATTAGGTTATTGAATTAGGTGGTAGATGTACTGACTAAATTTAGTATGAATTTATCTTGAGATGAGTACAATAATGGATTGATTATTTTTCTTATCTTCACACAAATCAAATTCTCATGAATAATCTCGTTGGTAAAATTACCATCTGCGTTAAAAATGGGCCACATCAACATCAACCGCCATTAATTTGCTCTAGAGAAGGTGTTAATGAGTCTCTGTCCCCCTACGCAAGATTATTTATTCAGGCACATGTTTTTGAACCAGATCTGATGAATTATTAGATTTAAGGTTTTGGATTAATTACTCAATTTTAATTTGTTTTCATCTATTTTCATCTGTGACATTATTTTAAATATGAATTTATTAGGAAGCTAATTATTATTATTATTAGGGGCATTTATACATACCTTGCAACTCTAATATATTTTTGCACATTTAACTGTATGTTAGATATGTAAATAGATAAGAATTGAGTGATATGCATGTAAATCTTCCTTTTCCTTTTGGGAAATTTACATACCTAACCCACAGTTCTTATGGATTTAGATATTTCACGACTAAACTTTCATATTTACATATGTAAGCACTTTTACGCGTTAAATCTATGCATGAAAATATGAATTTCACTTTTCAAAAGTGATAAGAGACATTTGAGTGCTATGTGCTTAAATATGAAAGTTTAGGTGTCATATATTTAAATACATTAGAATTGTGCTTACGTATGTGAAATGTACCTTTTCATGCTGAACATAGGTAAGGCGAGACATGTAAAAAATTAAAGTTTAGGTGTTAGATATGTAAATAAATAAGATTTTAAGTGGCATGCATGTAAATTTTCCATATTTTTATTTTCAGGAATCAAACCGAATGAGATTGCGTTCAATTTAGGGATGGGAATCGGCATGGCTTTTCTTCTAGCTGGGAGTTCTAATGAGATGAACAAGATGGCGGAGCTGAGGAAGCAGATGGAAAGTTTACTGAAAGAAATTAAAGGTGAAGTTCAGAGGAGAGATGATAGCAGCTTTTATACTCTATCAGATGCTGGTGAGAATGAGGTCAGCACAGCTATTTCTATAGAACAGCATTTCACTGAATCTGACAGAAAAAATTATGAGCCGGTTAACAGTTTGAGAGCCATGGATGAGTTGGAAGAGGAGCTTCAAGTCGAGCTCGAACGGATGGAGCGAAATTTTGAAGGAGAAGATGATGGAAAGCATGGAATGGAGGTACCTTCTTTTATTCTCTTTGGTTTAAGTTATTGGATATGTTATTTATTTGAATTTATTTTTAGTTTCTGTTTTGCATTTGTTGATTACATTTTTTTCGAGGGCATTTACATTTACATGTCCATCACTTAAAATCTACTTTTTTATGTTTATACCACCCAAATCTTTTATATTACATAAAAAATTCCATTGTTTTAAATTTTAAAGGGTGAAAGACACATTTTCATGCATAAGTTGGGTGGTATAAAGGCAAAAAGCTAACGTTTCGTGTTAGCTATGTAAATATATAGAATTGGATGCTATGTGAGTAAAGCTTTCTTTTTTCTTATATTGTTTTTATGCAGGAAGATTTACATATGTATATATCACTCATTTCTTATGTATTTACATGAGTTATTTACTTTCGCATTACCCAATTTCTATGTATTTACATATCTAACCCGTAAAGTTTACATTTTACATTTATACCACCAAAATCTTTCATATCACATTAAAAAATCACTATTTAACTTCTAGGTAAAATACACCTTTTCATGCATGTATGTAAAAATTGAAGTTTGGGTGATATGTAAATACATAGGAATTAAGTGGTAGTCATGTAAATCTTCCTTTTACATGTTTGACATGTAAACTTTAATTTTTACATTCGTGCCACCTTAGTCATATGCATGAAAAGGTGAATTTCATCCTTCAAAAGTAAAATGGGGGGTACTTTTGATTTGATATGAAAATTTTGGGCGATATAAATGAACGTAACATATGGGTGTTCTATATGTAAATATATAGGAATTGATGAGTGACAGCTTCGGCGTAATTCCCCTCTATCCCGGGTTCGAATCCCTCTGGGTCGAATTAACAATTATGGGATGGACAGACATATGTTGCCGTCCATCTCTAAGAATATATATATAGTGAGTTGGGCTTTCTTTTAGGCCCTCTCATAGAACATTTCTATATCTTTTCTGCTTTAATATATTAGCCCTTGAGCTTTTTCATATATATATATATATATATATAGATATAAAAGAATTGATGAATTTAAAATAAATAGGTATGTATTATATATTTATTTTAATTGAATCCAAATTGTGACCATTATCCTGTGAACCAAGTAGCATACCAATGGAGTTTTTGTTCTTTGGTCCGTAGATTGTAGGACAATTTTCATGCATATTACATAATTCTTATGTATTTACATATCTAACATTTGTACTTCAATTTTTGCATATATGCCACATTACTATGCCTGAAAAGGTCCATTTCAGTTTTTAAAAGTTAAATTACTACTATTTTCTGTGTCATGAAAGACTTGGGTGGTATAAATATAAAAAAGCAAAGTTTAGGTGTTAGATATGTAAATACATAGGAATTGGGTGGTATGTATGTAAATGCTACTATATTATATCATATTCAGATGCCACCCAATTTGAGATGATGTCTACACGCATCAGAAGAAAATTTTACAATATTATTTAAGAAATTGATATTTAAAAATGGCATAAACCTAACGGCTCACATCTACTAATGAACCAAGCAACCCTTCGGTCCATCATGGAGCTGTACTAGGTTTTAATAATGCGATATATCCTTCTAGGACCACAATAACTCTAATAATTGGAGACATAGTAGGATTGATAGGGGTTGCCATAAATTAATATTTTAAATTGACACCATTAGTATCACTGAAGGTGAAGGTGAATGAAATAAAAAAAGGGGCACATTTACATATATACCGCGCAATTCGTATGTATTTATCTTACACCTAAATGATCATGTTCACATGCGCACCACTCGAATCTAAACATCACATCAAAAATACTATCGTCGCTCATTTTTTTCTGGAGTGAAATACACATTTTCATGCATAGATTTTTGTGACACGAAAATGTTATAAGTGTAAATATCAAATTGTGTATGCAAATACATAAGAATTGTCTGGTATGTATGTAAATTTCCCAATAAAAATATACTCTGTATGTAATGATTGGGTTTGTGTGACATCTTCTTTATAAGTATGCTATATCCGACTTGATTGTGTGCAACAATTGGTTAGAAATTTTATCATTTTACTTTATCCATATCTCCTATTTATTGAAATGTGAGATTTTTATAGAGTTTTTTGCAATTTCATCCTTAAACATTTTGAAATTACACAGTTGGAGGGAAAGAAGGTAGATTTGTCATCTGGAAGTACTTCTGCAGCTTGGTATGACCACATGCCTGATGAAAATGGTGAGGAACAGCATGGGGTTTGTGCATATGATTTAGAGAGAAGATTGCATGAGCTTCTTCAAACAAGACAGCAGGAGAGGATAGAAGCTTTAGAGTCTGCACTGAAATCTGCTCAGAGAAAGCTTAATGAGAAAGAAGATGAGTTACTCTGCTGGAGGAATAATAATGGAGGAATTATTCCTGAAAATGAAGAGAATTATTTTTCATTGAGCTTTGAAAGTAGCCAATTTAAAGAATTATAGATGTAAATTTAAATTGCTGTAATTAAATTTTGCACTTTTATGCCCATGATGCATCCATTTACATCTCTTTGACGACCGTTTAGTATTTTTAGTTGTGGAGTCTAATTAATATATTATGGAGAGATAAATATAGGGATTGATTTTCATGGTTATCATGCGATCCACCTCGTAGGGTTTTAAAATGAGTTCCTTAATGGTGTATGGCATTCACGAATCACGATAAGGGGTGTAAATGAGTTGAGTCGAGTCAAGCTCGAGTCAACACCGGCTTGGTAAATGAGTTGAGTCGAGTCAAGCTCGAGTCAACATCGGCTTGGGCTTAGGCTTGAGCTTGAGCTTAATTAATTAATCGAGTTCAGGTTTAATTCTACGAGTTTGAGCTGGCTTGGTTAGTATGGAGAAGAGAAAAAAAAATAGTAATTTAAGCTAGTGTGATAATGCAATGACAAATATAATTGATACTAAAAAATTACTTAATATCAAATATAAAATACAAAATTTTTAAATATTTTTAATAATTTGAAAAAAAGTTTTTATATATTAATATATTTTAAATAAATTATTTATATATTATTTTTTAAAAGACCAAGTCAAGTTGGGCCGGGCTTGAGGTTGGCTTGTTAGTTAATTGAGCTAGCCTATCGAGTCAAAGCCGGAACCCCTCTGTATTTATTTCTTAAAAAATATTTTTAATTTGATATGAAAGATTCAGGGGGTAGGAATGTAATGAATTAAGTTTAGATGTTAGTTGTGTAAATACATAAAATTTGGGTGGTATGCATGCAAAAATCACTTGTATTTATTTACGTCAACATGACGGCGAAAGGAGGCATTTAAGTTTAAACAAAAGGGTGGTATGGGCCATTGGAATGACGCTCTCTACCAATGATTGCTGGTGAATCACAATTAATCACCCTCTCAACAGTACTTTATTAAGTCATTAATTCAAGCACATTAAATTAAGGCTACGTGGGCCCCATTTCATGATTGATCTTATTAAATATAAAGCTTTTAATTTAGTCTATATTCATAGTAAGAACGCAAATAGATTAAATAAATAAATAAATAAACTCATTATGGCCGGGGGTGGCCTGAGAAATAAATAAATAAACTCATTATGGCCGGGGGTGGCCACATAATGCATGAGAAAATATTGCAAGCACAACATATACCTCATTTGTGGATGAGGTGGAGCCCGACCATGCAAAGTTGTTGACCGGCGTTGGTAACTGACCGTCCGGAAGTGAGCTTGTCCGGAACAATATTTTCTCCTAATACACACTATCATAGTAAGGGAAATTCAGGCGCGCGCACACACACACACAATCCCTAATTGTACATTTGATGTCCATAAATGCCGCTAAATTAAGATGAAAAAAAAAACTTCTATAAGCATGACTAAGGAAAATAAATAAATAATTTTAATAATATTAGCAAATTAATTTAAATATATTTTAAAAAAAGCTTAAAATCAAATTTCTAGCAAGCCATTTTAGACTGATGCAAATAAATAATGAAGAGGGTTGCAATATTAAATAAATAAAATTATTATTATTATATATAACACGTGCATTTATTTGAGCGTTTAGCTATGGATCACCCTAACTCATCAACTTCACTAATACATTAATTCAGTGAATTATTGCTGATATGACAATCATAAAATTAATTTAATGAAATGGTCAAACTTTTTAAGAAGTTCGTGCAATAATCAAATAAAATTTTAGAGAACTTACGTACATACCACACTACTTTTAGCTATTTACATTTCTACCACCCAAACTCAAATAATTGGTCAATTTACATAAAAGCACCCAATTCTTATGCATTTACCTCACCCAAACTTTAATTTTTACATATTAAGTACATTTTCCTATATATAAACAGGTGGAAATAGTGTAATCCACCTTTAGTACATAGATTAGGGTGTGAGGAAAGTAAATACATAAGAATTGAATGCTATACATGTAAATTTTCCTTGAAATTTACATGCATAATACTCAAATATTTAATATCAAATAAAAATGACCACCATCACCTTCTTAAATACATCTTCTCAAGCATAGGTCTAATCACACCAAATTGTTAGATATAATTAGAAAATTTGTAAATATTAGATATGTAAATATAAAAGTTAAAAGTGTTAGATATCTAAATATGTAGGAGTTGTGAGGTATGCATGTAAATTTCCCAATTTTAGATTATTCATAGCAGGAATTGTAAATTTTACTCAAGTGCAAATAATTAGCATGAATCAATCTCCAAGCCATGAAACATTATTTCATTTACACAAATGCCTAAGTCAACAAAATAAGACTAAAACAACATATAATACACTAAAATCCAAAAACAAGCTAAATTCTATGTTTACCCATTTCTGTCTGCAACCTACAGATGAGTCATTTCCTTCGTCTTTTATCCGTTCTCACTGCACCTTCCAACGAAAAATCAACCGAGTTTTTAATGTCGGAATCATTTGTACCAGTCATAATTACAGTACTCTTCATTTTCTTCCTCCTCGCCTCGGATTCACCAACCAAATTAATAATTGGAAACACCATGGGCGGACAATTGGTTCAACTTTAATTCTTCATCAGTATCAGCTATTAAACCATTGTTTGTTTCACTGTGGGGAGGTTTCAGTGCTTCCTCGTTCAAAATTCTACTAAAATTTTCCCTAAACTTCAATGCTGATTTCCTCCGACTTCTAAAGTTCTCATCCAAAGGAGATTTTATTTTATGGGAATCAGATTCAGTTCTTTCATCCTTATCAAAAATCATAGATTTTCTTCCATAAGAGTCACCTTTGGGCCCACGCGCAGATCTCATAACTGATTCGGGACTACCCAATGTCGAAATGTTCTTTTGTTTGAACCTTCGGTTCGATTTAAACTTGGTGGAATAATTCTTATCTTTATCAAACTTGGTTTCCTCATTCACCAAGTTTTGAGAGGTTTTATCATACAGGGAAGAATCTAGTTCTGAAGTCGTATGTCTGGGGGTGCCTCTTGATTTACGGTTTAAATGTTGAATTTTGATCTCCAGATTCCTCAGATTTCCTATATAATTTACTTCTATTAAATGCAAGTATATAAAATTGACTTCTATTGAATGCAAGTATATAAAATTGTTAGAAAATTACATTATACAATAGGAAGATTTACAAAAGCAACACTTAATTCCCAGTGTTTTTTAAATATATACCACTTAGAAGTTAAAAAAACTTTTTTTTTTATGTGATATGAAGGATTTGGGTGGTATAGATGTAAAAAGTAAAGTTTAGGTGTTAGATGTGTAAAATACATAGGAATTAGATGGTATATATGTAAATGTACAAATAAAATAACGCAATAAATAAGGGGGTTCCGACTGACCTTTCTCTCGCCGCATTCCTTTTTGCTGAACTTGCTTTTCGCTTTTTTGGCCTGGCCAATGACAATCACAGAAATTTTTAGTGAATTCCGCAAGAAAAAGCAGCTGGTAACATAAAACAAATGGGAGAGAAAAACATTTAAGGAAGATTTACGAACATTCCACTCAATTACTGTATTTACATATCTAACACCTAAATTTCAATTTTTACATGTATATTATGCCACCTTACCTATGCATGAAAAAGGTGTATTTCAGTTTTTAATAGTTAAAGAGGTGGTATTTTTGATGTGATAGAAAAGACCAAGGGAGGTAAAAATGTAAAAGGTAAAGTATAGGTATTAGGTAGGTAAATACATAAGAATTGTGTGGAATGTATGTAAATGCCCCTTTTTAATGCTTTAAACACACTGAGCGGATCTCAAATCATTTCCTACTATTATCCATAATTCATAGATTGTACAGACCTCATTTACCCTCAATTAACAAAGAAAATATTAGGTGCTGAGCTCGAATAAAGAAGTACACCCGGACTCCAATAAGACAATGATACGTGAATCGATAAGAATTAAGTGGCATGTATGTAAATGCCCCAAAAATAAATGCTCACATTTGTGAAGAACGTTCTGGGCATGCAATATCATTTTCCTGTCCCTGTAAGAAAATCAAAGTGGAGGTTCTAAAATTTCAGTACAACGGAAACATAGTAAATGAACACGTACCTTTTCAAAATTCTTGGAATCAATATAATTCCAGCGCTCATTCCTCAAAAATAAAATCTCAGCATCCCCATCATCATACACCACCTGTGCCGTGAAAAAGAGAACCACTAATAAATTCTTAAGAAAATCCATAATATCTGAACAAGCTATCAGACACAATTGAAGGTACAAATTTGTAATACCCTGTGCTTCTTTGTTACAGGATCAAAAGCATCAATAACACCTGTGTAGAACCTACAACATAACCGTAACAAATCATAAATCAATCAAGTAAATCATGTCATACGAAAAGGCTAAAACAATCTCAAAGCCCATTGTTAGAGGCAAACATTATCTGGTATTAAAAAAAAATTATATAATTTCAATGTGTAGGACTGTCCAGATGCCATTTGCCATTTGAATGATCGTTAAACTATTAACCTATTAACCATTGATTAGGTGTCATCAATCTTAGGGCTGTCAAAACAACTCATTGTTCGCAAACAGCTCGAGTTCATTTTGTTCGTCAGGCAAGTGAGCAGAACATAAATAAATTTTTTGAGCTTAAATTATAAAACAAATCAAACATGAACAAACTTGTGTTTGATCATGTTTGACTCATTTTGACTCGAATTAAGTAAATAATTAAATAAATAATATTATTATAATATTTTTATATGAATTTGTATGCTTTATTTTAAAAAAATATTACACTATATTATTTCTCAAATCATTCGAGCTAAATTCAGGAGCTAAAACGAAAAATCGAATTTGAATCCACCTGAACACAAACATTCATTCAGGTGCCATTTTGAACAAAAAAATTTAACGAGCCAAACATAAGTATTGGGGTCGCCCAAACACGGCTAGTTTACACTCTTCAGCATCTTCATTTAGGGTTGCCTACCATAAGTTATTGGTGGCAATTATAAACCGAGGCAACATTATCAATACAAATTAAAATTACGATGCTAATAATATTTAACACGAGGATTACATTGCTTGAAATTTATGATAAAGAAAAAACAAAAATTCCTTCATCAAACTAATATTGTATGTTGCAGGAGTAATGCAACTGCTCGTGTACAAAACCAAAAAAAAAGTAAAAGCATCAGGCTTCCACAATAATACGTTGAATGAGTGCTGAACAAGGGACGATTTCAATACATGCAAAAGCCCCACACAATAGTAAATCAGACATTACTCCAAGATACCGTGTAATTGCGGGCTTGGATGAAAAAAAATATGTAAAAAGTGAACCTTAATTTCCCACCTAAAGCTACATTTTGCGATGGGTCTAATTCCTGGCTTAAATAATTCAAAATGAATTGTAGATGATTCACAACCCTCACTTCACTGATTCAAAAGCTCAATAAATAGCTTTCAATACCAGTTCTACGAATAAACCAATAATGACTCAAAATTTCTACACACACACACACTCTCTCTCTCTCTCTCCACAGAGGGATATGGAGGTTAAAAATTAATTTGTATTAAATATCAACAAAGTCACAGAAACTTCTACATCGAAGTGCTTTGAGCAATGCAAATTGAGAAAGTATAAAAATGCACAATGGAAATATAGGAGTAAACAATGTTAAACAGCACATAGCTTAAGAAATAAAATCAAAAGTAAGCATGTTGGCATCGTCACATCGATTTTAATGCCAAAACCATAACTATTACTTTAAATAGAAATACATAAGTTAAAGCAGTAAAACTTCCACAACACGATATGCACGGAACAAAAACAAACATCTGGATGTTCAAAAATTTTACAAAACAAAATATGTCTCATCTTACCTCTCATCATCAGGCCACCACACTTCTATCTTACGGCCAATATTATCCAAATGCATGCTAGATAATCGAGAGGCCTGAAAAAGATAGAAAAACGCTTAAATCTAATCATAGGTACACTAAGTTAAACTTTTCCCAAGTTGGAAAAAAAAAAGGTCAGTGCAATACAACAAAGCGAGGTAACATTGAAAGACATAAAAATAAATAATTTACCATGTTTCAAAATTGTGCGGTATTAGGTTGTGCCTCACACAGTCAGCATGCGCCTTGCCTCAAAAGACCGTGCATCATAGATAGCTTTAATTTGCTTTTAAATATATATATAACGAGAGAAAATATATTAACTAGCCTCCTCTCATCATTGGGAGATTTGATTTTGTGTCTCATGATAGCAAAAAATAAATAGGATTGGGAGCTAAGAAATTAATGTATATGTACAAGTAGATGAAATTATTTAATTTAATTTTATTAAATTGAGGCAATCATTTTCAATCTCTCCCTAATTGTTGTCAGCTGCAGAAAATTAATTGAGAGCTTGTAGCTGCCGGGTAAACAGTTTGGTGAGGAGAACTAAAGTTTAAGAGGAGAAATTGGAAGGTTAAGGTAAGAAAATTAAGTATATAAGTAACTTTATATAAATGTGATATTTGATCCCAATTCATCTAATGATATCATTGATCCTCTCCGTAAACTGCAGCAGGTTTTGAGCAGCTAGATTTGGAAGGGATGCAGGCTGTAGATATTATTAGCAAGGAATGTAGGCCTTAAGCAAGAAAATACTGGGATTTTGTTGGAATTTCGACAAGGCTAGTATGAAATGTAGAGATAAAAATATAAATTGAGGAAATATTTTCCTGAAATTAACTTTAAATCTAAGGCAAGCCCGGGGAAGAAACATGTCGCAACGCTGACACAAATCCGAATCTCATGTAAGATACTCAATTGATAAAATAAGAAACAAGTTGTTTTATAGGACTATCGATTGCTACTGTCAATTAATAAATTCATTTATTATATGATTGTGTTTATTAATTATTTCATATTGTGCATATTCTTAGTCTGATTTAATTATACAAATGAACGCCTCAATAGTTTCATTTTGTGGTGATTCATAGAAATGCAAAATCAAAGCCCAAATAGTTGACTATTACCTGCTATGTTGTATTTCTTGTGTATATTACTAAAGTGATTGTTTGCGGGTACATTCAAATTAAGCAATAAATGCATATAAAAGTACTTATAAGAGGTAAAAATGGTTCGAAGAAATATCATGTATAATATGATAGATAGACAAATATATTCATAATTATTGAGTTCGTGAAATTAAATTATGAGCGAATTTCAGTTACAATGATAAAAATGTATGGATTATTATAACTAAAAAATAATATTTTTGGTAGAAAATTTTCATATCATGTAAGATGAAAATATCAAACATATATGCAAAAATAATGATAGAAATAAAGCAGTGATGAACTAAAAGACCAGAAATGTTATTAAAACTATTGTAGCAATGTCACTGTAGTAGCGGTACTATAAAATAGCATTGTAACAGTGTTACTGAAGCAACACAACGGCGCTGCTGTATCGATCTAGAAAATTGAGATGATTGTGTCGTAGTGCTACCTTTTGGCGCCACAATGCTGACAGCCATGCGTTGTGGCGCTTGAGATTGAGCTCCGCAGTGCTAGACTCTTAAAAATTAAGGCCTCAAGAAATAGAGCATAGTGTCATAGCGCTACATTTAAAGTCTCGCAACCCTACTAGCACAGCGCCACGACGCTAGTTTACAACACTATAGGGCATGATCTTACGAAATTAATTCAGACTTAGAAGTTGTGTGGTTTTTAGAACAATTATGGTGTGGGGACAGATGCTGAAGATGAGAAAGAATATTGTAGTGATTGGGAGAGAGTAGAGTGGACTTAAAGAGTGCAGTGTGTGAGTGTGAGTAGTGTGTGAGAAAAAAGATGAGAAAAGATCCATAGGGAGAGAACGGTGCAAGAAAAGAGGACAAAAAACAGGATTAAACTTTCAAGATTCAAACTCTAAATTTATCTTTAACCCCTAGTGTAGTTTATGTTTTTCCATTGTACTTTCTCACTTTTCTCAATTATGTGAAAGAACTAGTTTTTTTTATATAAATTTATGATTCATTTGAAGTGATAATTTTAATGTGTAATGAATTTTATGAATAAAATCTATATGGTTGTTTTGTTTCACTTGACACTGATTCAGTTTTTTCATGGCCAAACAATTCTTAATAAATAATGCGATCTTGTAGTTTCAAAAGAATCCTAGTGGAACAACAACGGTGAAACATTCCATTACCCAAGTGCATGGAAATATAGATTTTGAGGAATTGCAATTGGGTAAGTGATAACTTCATGCCATCAGTTGTACCATTTCTCTGTTACTTAAAAAATAATTAAGTTTCATAAATAAAGATAGAGATTAGGAGACAATTTTGCTTTTTATTCACAACTTAATGTTGGGCACATCAGTACATAAATTACTTTAAATAGCCATAAATTAAGAGTTCTTTGTAATCGTACTTATTGTAAAAAATCTATATAATATTTGAATAAATTGATAAAATTAAGATAAAAATAATTTAGTACTTTATAAAAATATAACTTGATCATCCTGGGAACGATACTCAACTCGTCATGTTATTACTTGAACGAAAGGTATATTTGTACATATCTGAACAATGGGTCAGTGATCCGAATAAAGAAAGATACATCTGACGAGATAAGCCTCTGTATGAAAATAATAAAATTCTTAACTTTTGATATTAAGATTGTGAAGGACCAATTGGTATCAAGAGGTCATTGATGTTAAGATAGCCAACATTTATTAGCAATTATTATGGCTGAAAAGCTAAGCGCGACTAATGAAATAAAACATGTCAATGTCTATACAAATATAATGTAGCATTTATGAGACAGAAATTGAAAGTAAGAATTAAAACATATGCGAGCAAACACGCATACAATATTACATAGAATAGTAACTTGAATGACTTGTCAGTAGAAACTTTGTTCACTTATTGCATCTACTGTTTATAAGCATGTGATCTCCGTTATTTAAGTATATTACTACTATTATTATTCATATTAATCACCGACCAAAATGTAAGTTACTTTATTTCTTATATGTTTGAATCTAATCTTAGAATATTTATCTCGATGAACAAGTATCTTATCTGAGACTATTTATTCCTTTCAAGGAGCAAGATACAAGTTGTTAGCAATGTTAAAATTCTTTTATAACTTTTATAAAAGAATTTGAATGTTCAACTTTTAGAGGTTATAAAAGAATTTGAATACGCATGTGTTTATATTTAAGCGTTTTAAAAACACTTTATTTATTTGATAAGTAATTATAAGTGCTTCCTAATTTATGTCTGACGCTAAAGAGTTATTTAAAGAATTAAAATATAAGAGTTTGTTTATGATGATTTAGTAAGACAAATTCTTCACTTAATGGATCATAATTAAAACAAATCATGATAAGTGTCCATAAAAATTAAATTTGATTGAGTTATTATTTTCTATTACACCTATGCTTAATCTAAGAGGGTTAAGGGAAGTTTGACAGACTCCCTTATTTTGACTTAGTATATTCTTACTTTGATATGTTATCATATTCTGATGTTTGTATAACACTTTTTGTTTCATACTTTAATATGCATAACCTTATACACTTTATTGACTCTAATCTAGCACCTCAAAACATTTTGAGACTTACCCTCGGCACATTGATAAAAACAGCCTTAAGACCCAATTCCACAATTTTAAAAGTTGCAAACTGCAAATTCTAACCTGAGCTTGCACAAAACAAATCTCTAATGGCAATAGCAAGTAGTATAGATATTTTAATAGAGGTGACATAAATTTAAAAAGAGTGCCTTACACTACATTTAATAATATAACTTAAAATTTTAAAAATTGTAGCATGATATTCCATCAAATATATCATGCAAAATATTTATATTAAATATAATGAATGATTCAAATATATCCACTAAATAAATAGTATATGAGATAATCTCCCTAGGTATATTAGTTTACTGTTCTAAATTTGTGCAAATATATATACACAATGTGCTTGTGTATGCCATATACGCATAAAAGGCCCCTTGAAGCTGACATGTAGGGTTGAAAATTAGGAGACTTTAATTTACAATGTGATTGTAAAGGACAAAGTAGTGGCATTGAGGGACGCAAGAGAGAAGATATTTAAAAAATTAGAGTTAATGGGGGAGAGGGATGGAAAAGAAAATTCAGAGAGACAATAATATTTAAAGGGTAAATAAGAGCTGTGTGAGAGAGAGGGAGTCAATGATACCGTGAGGAAGGAAAAATCCCAACTCTCACTCGTGCTCAAGGAGTTGTATATAGCCTAACCAATACATTTGCAGAAAGACTTATGTGACTCAATAGAAGGCCTAAATGAATACTTATTTGAGGATTATTTGGTTGGTGGAAGAAGTAATGCATTATAAAATGAATGCAATGCAAAAGTAGGCAACTGTATTTGAAATACTTTAATTTTATTTGCTTCACAATAAAATAAATGGATGATTTTTTTTTTGTTTCGTTTAAAAAAAATGAAAACAATATATTTAAATGTAATTAAAATTAATGTGTTGGCCATCAGCAACGAGCAGCGATGGCTTGTAGGGGCTAGCAGCCAACAGAGGTGGGCGATGATGGTAGCGGCCAGGAAGGTGGCCTGTGATGATGGCCAGTTAGCGGCAGCAGAGGCAAGGGTGACAGTTGGCAGTGATGGGCGGCGATAGGGGTGTGCAGCGGCCAGGGTGGTGACGAGCAGGACGCAGGGGGCTACAATGATTTACATTAAGCTATGATTGTAGAATTCGACCAAATTGGCCAAATTTTAAAATAAGGTAAAATGGCCAAGATGTTAATTTCAAACACAATATTATTTTACATTAAATTTGAATTTCTTCCAAACGACCAAATTTCTATAATCCTTGCATTAAGAATACAATGCTGCCAACCAAACAACACCTTAATAAATCCTAACAAGACCTAAGGTCTGTTGACCT